CTGCCGCGCCGTTTCTTTGTAATTTGAAAAAAAGTGTTAAACTTTTCGTCCACATTTAAGGTCATCCTACCGAACCGATTTTAAAAAATCAAAAACTGTTCGAAAGATATTAGTTGGGAATGATACTGATTAGTATAAGGTGAAAATCTGCCAAACCGTTTTCTTGTAATTAACTGTTGAAAAAAAATTGAAGCCAAATTTTATGGAACTTTTTTTGGCGATATATATCATGGTCTTATAGAACTTACTGAAATATTACGGCCTTACGACAAGTAGTATAATTTTAAAAATTTATCAAATTTTGAGAAAATGAGTAGTTTTTTTGACATTTGTTAATATTACAATTAGAGGATTTACTTGGTATAACGATAGTAGTACTTGGTCTTAATGAACATACTAAACCATTAAAGTCCTGCGGAAACTGATTGAATTATATAACTTGTTGATTTTTGAAAATTTGCTTTTAGAAAATACTCCGAGTTAACGTGTTCGTTCGTTTTCAATTATGTGTAATAGATCCAATCGGAATACTTTTAATCGCTCATAAATTAATTTATTTTTTATTAATTAAGTCGATTATTAACACATATCGAGAAGTTTATGTAACTTGCCTCAAGGCAAAATACCAATACCAACTAGTTTAAAAACTAATTTCATCCAGTAAAATTCAAAGAATAATAACTAATTTAATATATTTAACTCAGGAAGCTAAAAATTGATTCGTATAGTCACTGACATAGATCATTTTGCAATCTAAGTATCTTCCATTATCTGAACCGTTTCGGTTGAACCAAGGTCGTAACTGTAAAATTCTTTGTATATTTATTATACGCGATCATTTACATCTGCATTGTCTTTTGTTAAAATGCCATCACATTTTCACGCGATGAAAACAATTTACCGTATTCGCGGACTTTGATATGGATACACATATGGATTCATTTATAATTATATAGGATTTATTACGCTTTCATTGTGCCATTGTGTTTTTTACTTCATAAATTCGCACAAAGAACTCCGTATTATGGGAAAATACATAATTTTCTAGGAAATACTTAAAGCTGATTTCACCACAACGAGATGAATAATATTTTGTGAAAATAAATTTCTTTGCATAATTTAAACTTATGATGATAGAGTAATGAAATTTTGATACGGCTCATTACTCCAACTATTCATGAAACGATTTAGATTGATTTGAAACTTCAAGACTAGATAAATTTAGCAAATAGTATTTTTTGGAAAAAGCAAAACTTCTCAATTACAAAGTTAAAAAAGTAGAATAATTGAATTTTGTGTAACTCGCTGAAGAACCATTTCAAATGTTGTATGAAAGGGGTATTCTAGTTTAGAATTTAAAAAAAAAACGTTTTTTTATATTTCCAATTACTCAAGATTTTTTATATTTTCAACTGTTCAAGAATTTATGTACAAGAGGATTTTTCAACATTTGAATTATTTACGGAGATGTAGATTTTTGACTACGATAATCCCCTTTCCTTTCTCCCTGAAACTTTAAACGCGTTTTTCTCGATACAGTTATTTTCGATGCGATACCCACGATTTCTTCACTTTTACTGCACCGACTTACTTGAATTTTTACATAGTCTTCTTTATAGACTTTTCTACAGAATGCACTCACTCTGCTCATTCCCAAATTCCTATTTTTACTATTTTTAAAGAATTCGAGATATTAAAAAAATATATATATTTTTTCAGACTTTCATACTATTCTAGATTAATAATATTTATACATATTTTTCTTCAGGTGGTTTGGAGGGCTATGATCACTCATATGATCAAATGAAAAAATTGTTTGCTTTTTTTACGGCCCCTCAAAAATCGTATAAATTTTATAACAAAACGTTCGTGACAAAATAAAAAAAATAAATATTGTTGAGAACTATAATTTAATATGCAATATTTTAAGTATAACATATCCCATATTAAAATTTGTTAGTAATAAGTTTTGTATTAAAACTAACATTAATAAAATAAACTTTATATTAATTACAATAATATATTAAAATAAAAATCAATTTATAAAAGTTTTATATTAATGTTAGATGTGGTACTAAACTTATTACCAACTAATTTAAATATGAGATCTGTTATACTTAAGATATTGCATATATCATAATAGTTCTCAGCAATATATAAAACAAATATCATTTTTAATTATAGGTTTTGTACATTTTGATTAATTTTGTTGAGGCTAAAGCAATGATTTGAAGAACTTGATTTGATTTGTAATATTGTTTTGCTTCTTTAATTCGAAATTGATACTCAGTCACATCAGTAATTTGCCTCTTAAAAATAACTTAATAATAAATATAGAAGTTGCACAGTTCACTTTAATTCTTCACTAAGATTTTTCAAATTAAATGACACGTTTCTATACTTGTAGAAGCAATTGAAGTGAATTGCTCTTCTTCAATGGGGTGGGAATGTGGATTTCATGTAGATTTGAGTCAAATTTTACTAAAAATCTATTTTATTCATTTTGTAATAAATAAAATTGTTATCGTTCTATTAGTTTACATTTTCAAAAATACCGATAGCCAAGTCAACGGAGGCGGCTTACAAAGGAATTTGGGTTCGATACATATTAGAATCCGCGAATAACGAAATTTTTAGCCGCGAATATACAAGTTGGGCCACAATTTTTTTGGCAGCAAATAGCGAAAATTCGTATATAGGAAAAGGATAAGGAACTTCTACTGTGAATATATATATATATATATATATATATATATATATATATAATACGTTATCCCAGATAACTATCAAGATTATCATAATTAGTGATTTTGTTCAATAGTACATCGATAAAGTTCATTTATTTCTCGTTGGAAAACAGAAACGTTAGCCGTCATTGAAGCGAATACAATCAGCAAGAACATGATAAGTGTGCACATTTGATTATAGATGATTGAGCAAAAAACAGAAAAAAATATAACGGTGTAAAATTGATACATATTCACATAGTTTTATATCCTGGACATCAACTGATTGACTTGAAATATTTGCAGAACATAATTAATAACGAGAAAGATTTAGGTTAAGCTCTTTATCGTGATAGAAACAATATATGCTATCTGGAGAAGGTATTAAAATAATAAATTTCTTTGATTTTTAAACAGTGTAATTTCATTCCTTTTGTTCTTGGAAAGTTGGTATGTTAATGAAAATTTTATCTACAGTTGTTATATCCAAGGAAAAATAACCATTAGAAGGTTAATGGAATACAATTTACTATTATTTAATTTGGGACCTCAAAAAATGGCATGTCGCCATACTTATGATTTTAGCCCTCCAAATAATCTGAAGAATAATATGTATATATTATTAATCAGCGAAGCATGCCTTGGTTGGGCCCCGCATCAAAACTTGTTTGGGGGCCCCTTTAAGAAGGGTAATGATTTTTCAACAAATATAAAAAATGCATAAAATTAAAGGAATATTTATTTATACTCATAAATCTGTAAATTTTCTGAAATGATTCTAAACATATATTTACTCTTCTTGCCTTTTTTCAAAAAACCGATTTATTAAGCGATGATTTACAGTTTTTTTAGAAGTTTTTGTCTATAGGGACGATAGTGACAGGTCTACCAGACATTTCTCTCTTAAAGTTCTTAGGTTTTTAATATAAAAAAAGTTATTATTAAATATAATTCAGAAAAAATATAAATTTTCTGAATCGTTGGGCTTAAAAGTTGAAAACAACGACTAGATTCAGAAACTAAAATAAAACTCAATACCTTTCGATAACAAAAGGAAATGCCAACTATGCCGGAATTATTATTTTTAAAAAAAAAAATCGTTTTTTAGCTTTTGACTTTGGGGTCCCCATATAATTGATAAGGCTGATACGGCGATAGCTACGCCCCTGTTATTAATCTAGAATAACGTCGCTATAATATGATAAACTATGGACAAGTTAAAAAAATTACAAAAGATTGTCTGAAAAAAATGATATTTTTTAGAAATAGTAAAAATCAGAATTTGGGAATGAGCAGAAGGAGTTCATCCTGTATAGAAGTCTATAAAGAAGACTTTGTAAAAATCGGTCGAGTAAAAGTTGAGAAATCGTGGGTATAGTATCGAAAAAGATTGTTTAGGAGAAACAGGTTTGAAGTTTCACGGAGGAAGGAACTCGAAGAGGAGTATAATCCTGGCCAAAACATCCGTAGCCAAGAATTATAATTCGTGGTCAAACATCTATTATCTCCGAAAATAATTCAAATTTTGAAAAATCCTCTTGTACGCATATTCTTGAATAGTTAGTTTTTGAAAGTATCCATTTTTTAAATTACAGACATTAAATAAAACATGAGTTAGCATTGAAAATGACATAGTAAATTGTGTAATAAATATTTAGTTTCTGGTAAATAAGGTGATATAAATGTTTGGTTGCTATGGAGATCTAAGTCACAAATCACGCGACAAGTAGCAAATCGATAAATCACTCTGAACATCGAACATAAAGACAAGATTGCATCCTATGTAGAAAAATAGAAGAATACTTACCGATTTAAAACAATTAATGAAGTCAAAACTAATAATAATAATATATATATATATATATATATCTAAAATTTAAATATAGTTTAAAATTTATGAGAACTATTTTTTGAATAGTTAATGAAGATATCGTAGCCTCTACGTTTTCGTATACTCAAGCGTAGCTCTACGTGATCCTCATCCGTAGCTCTTATTTAATGACAGAGCACGTCTTATTGTCAGTAAAATTGTATACTTAAACTAAAGCCAAAAGTTTTGATACCACATAAAATTAAATAAGAAAATGTATTAGTATATACTGCAATCTAATATACTATGGGCATTAATCATTCATAGTTACTTTTCTATGGTATTGACTTAAGTCCATTATTTAACAAAATCTTAATATAAAAAATGCATTCAATATGATTTTGTAAATATTGTAACACGCTTATATTTTCATACCATAAGAAATATTATACAATTGTACTCACATTTTACGAAGCGAATACTTCGAGTATGGATTTACAAAAACACAAGTGTCACACAAGCCAACACCCCGAAATTAATAAATGATGAATGAACTTCGAGCTAATTTCACAAGATGCACATCTAACACATCACAATATAGCACAATGTGCAATACTTTACGAGAAATAACACTTTTGTCGGCGTTTCTAATCAATGAAATCAAATCACACGGCGATTGAAATGACACTTTGCTCCGGGCGTATGAAGCATACAACCGAATCAACTGCGGGATGATGACTGAACGTACGAGTTGAGTGGAGTATAGAGAGCGCTATAATTTCATACGGGGCTTCCCCACTCTTGGTCGCACTTACTCGAGATGAGAGTTTGTTAAAAGCCTATCAGGCGAATTCAACAAAAACCTTAATGTTTATAGTATAATAATTATAAACTAGTGGGGTGCATAGCATCGTGCCTTAAGGCAAATTGCTGGAACTTCCCGCACCGTAATTAAAAATCTTGGTACGGAACCCAAGAAAAATTACACAAAATGTGTACACAATATTAAAATCTCTATAAAATATCTGATAATTTACATTTTTAACCGCCAATGACATTTTCTCAACTTATTTTTATTGAGAGTCCATAACTGCTAGACCTGCCTTCCCAAAAATTTAACCAGTTCTTCATCTTGTCGATACAAGTAAAATGTCTTTTGAATTATTAAAGTCGGACGCTCCGTTCTCTTAAAAACTGAATTACCGTTTTTTGTCACTTTTTGTCCCGTATCTTCGGAACGGCTAGACCTGCCTTCGCCAAAAACTAATCAGCACGTCTCCTTATCAATACGAATCGAATGTCTTTTGATCGATAATAATTAGAATTATTCAAATCAGTTGATCGTGGACGAAAATTTGTATCCGCACACACATACATCCATTTTTTCTAATGTATGCCAAAATATTCAGAAACCTTTGAAACATGAAGGTATATAAAAATATTATTTTCGATTTTTTTGCGATTACTATAACTTACCCTACAGGAAGTTAATAAGGTAAAATGACTATACTATGGAATGGATATTATATATATTAGTAGACCTTCTTTAATTTGAAGATTACGGTTTAAGTTCTTATTTACAATTGGAGGGTTAACTGGTTTTAATTTAGCTATTTGATCCTTAGATATTATTTTACATGATACTTCTTATGTTTGAATTTCCATTATGTATTACCAATAGAAGCACTACTTGCTCTATTATAGCTGATGGTTTTGTTTATTGATTTTTATTATTTCGTGGATTAACAATAAAACCGATTTTCCGAAAAATTCAATTTGTTATAATATTTATTGAGGAAAATTTAACATTATTTCACAACGTTTTTTAGGTCTTGGAGGAGTACCTCGCCGAAGATAGATTTACTTGATGAAATATTCTCTTTTCTTTAGGAAAATTTATTTTATTATTTAGAATTATTCTATTTATTTATATAATTTGAGAATCTTAAATTTTAAATAGAACTAGACTATTCCTAATTAGTATGTATAATTTTTTTGCATATTTCAATGGGACGTAATTGGTCAATATTTCTTTGATTTTGAAAATTCAAAACAATCATTTAAAACAATGTATATGTATATATCAATGTATATATTTACAATGTAAAACAAATCTAAAAATGAATAGTACAATATTATAATAATCATAAATTAGTACATATATAGATAAATAATGTAAATATTTTATGTAATATGTTAAAGAAATGAATATACATATTAAAATAGTAAAATAATCTAATTAAAGATTACTTTCTGTTTGTGATTTTTCTAAATTAATAGTTTTATCCTATGTAAACTTAAAATAAAATTATATAAAATATTAGTAATGAAGAGTAATATGTTATGCATTGTACTGAGATCGCAATTTTTGTTAAAAAATAATATGGCATATAAAAGTTTAAAATGATAAAATCTCATTATAATTAAGACTTATTACTATATATTGCTAAACGTGTAAAATATTATTTAGGAAACAATTTAATAAAACAAAAATTACTTCCATTTATAGAATAAACTAATCATATTGCATTTGCACGTAAAGACACTTATAGATTTATTTTTGGTAAAAGCCAATAGGCCAATTCATTTTAATACGGTTCAAATGATCAGAAATTTTTATTACAAAAGAAAGGTCGTTACGTGTTTTATCAACATTTTTTATCAAACTACCAATTATCTAGTACAATTATTTTGCACTTATAATACTTTAAATATCATCATCGTAAATAAAAATTAAAATTAGAAAACAATCATCTCTGTAACACACATCTTACATCTGTAACACTAGCATAAAAAAATTATATTTAACATTATGATTAAGATATATATATATTGGTACTCAAATTGAAAAATTAATTATCATAAACACTATCATATCTTTCTTTAGTCCTTCACTCTTGATAAATGTTTATTATTATAAATCTACAACATTCATCTGTATTATTAAAATGCTGATAAATAATTTATTCAAAACATAAACGAATTGTGTTATCTCTGTATTTAGAGACAGAGGCTAAAAAATGTAATTTGATATGTTTATATTATTGGTTGTTTAATTCAGATCGATATAGTATATAGTATTGTGCATCTGTAAGTACTATTATATAACATAGAGAATATAGTAACAATAACGGTATTGTTAAATTTATTGTAATTAAGTATATATGGTTGCTAAATTCTAAAGCTAAATATAAGGCCGCATTATAAACAGTCTTTCGTTTACATTCACACCTCCAACCAATTAAATAAAATCCAAGCATAAAAATTCACTAACTTGATTTAATCATCAGTACGACAAAACATTTGAGCAAAATGTTTAAAGTAATTTTAGTAGACAAATTACATTTCATAAATCAATTTATCATCAATATCAACAACTGACTCATGAAATATAGTTCCTATGATATAAATGAAGTAATTTTCAAATAATTTAAATCTATTGCACGCACAACTTAATCATCAGTCATTTATATATACTCATAAGTGATGAAAAATGTTGTGAATATTAAAACAATATATTGTGGTCCAAAAATTCAATAGCAAGATCCAAAAACTTTGGAGCCACAATATAATAATGTTCACAATATTTCTTCTTTAAGCGACACAAACACATTGCACTGAAATAGTAGAAGTGGCAAACACCAACTTTTAAAATGATAATGGTATTTAAACCAAATTCATCATATTAACAAATTAAAAATCAAAGTAAAACTTAGCAGTAAATATAAATATTTAAAACATCTAAAAAGTCCAAAAGCGTCAAATCACAAAAATTGATTGCACAATTCAACTAGGAACAACCGCATCTGTCAACTACCATTCCCGGTAATGTACCATAAACAATATTCAAATCTGCATCAAAATACAGCATTGATATGGGGCTCATCTGTCGAGGTGCGCAGCAAGGACCTGGAGACCCCGTAGGCCTTGCTAAGTGAACTATGTGAGTATGCGGATTCTTTTGCAAATAAATATAAGGGCAATCACCATTACAGTAATGAGCTTCATAGGTTTTGGGAGCTATAACCCAGTCCCATCCAAATTCTTCAAAATCAACCTTTAGTGGAAAACGACAACACAACGTTGTGTTCGAGTCCTCGGTACAGTCATTACTTATTTCTCGTTTGAATCGCCTTCGGCGCCCGTCTTCGGTATAAACTTCTATATAAGGTACCTGAAATAAGATATTGTTAGATTTATATATTTTAGACCTGAAATAAGATATTGTTAGATTTATATATTTTTAACTTATTAATATAATATGGCATCACAATTTGCATTCAAATACTTATTAATTAACATTTACCATAGATCCATCCTCAAAATCGTGATCAAGAACAACGGCGTGTTTTCCTTTGCGATCCAAACCGATAATTTCAATCCCTAGATTATTTCTTGGAAATCTGAACCATTCATCAACAACATTTGTTATATTAATTTTATACCATTTTCCCTCTACTGATGGCAAAACAACCGTATTGTTAAACACTGAATATCTTGCATTATTCGATTCTTTCCGTTTAGGACTTTTAATTACTTTCAAAATCTCAAGATTGACAGATGTTTGTGAATAAACATCTTCTGAACTCCATCCACTAGATTTTATATATACATGAAGAATTGCTTGTTTCACATAATTCTTTCGGACATTTTCAGCAAATTTGAAAAACTGTATAGATGACGACTGCCTTCTACGACCATGTTCTGAAATTGATTAAATTATGTATTTAGTATAAATATAAAGTAGCTATTAATTAAATCAGATATATCAATGTAATTTTTATAGTTGAAAACATTGGGAGGAGTATATCAACGAAAATAGGATAAAAGCCCAGATTCATTACATCAATAAAAATTTAAAAAATCCTATTTTTGTTAATTTTAAGGATATATGATGGGATAATTATAAATAAATATTATCAATATATTCTAAAATAATTACTTCAATAACCTGAAAGTAGAAAAAATGTTAAAATAAAATAAATGCTATGATAAAAATTTTATATATTACTTTACTACCATGTTCCAATATCAATATAAATCTATTTGCAATGCTATAATTAACTGATTAGTTGAAGTATCCAGCTAAATGCCATAACAACGCAACTAGACAGAGCGGTGTATAGAAGCATTCAAATGGCACTTGGATGGATGTTCACGATCAATCAGAAACGAATTTCGAACATTCGAGTGATGCAATTAAAAACAATAAGTAATCAGAATCAGAACATAGTAGTGATATAACAATAAATCATAAAAATTAAGATAAATATAAATACTGCTTTCTTTAACCAATACTTGTTATTCAAAAAACAACATTATTAAAATTTCTTCACATCAATAACATATTTAAAAGTCTCTTTTCAATTCACATACATTTACATATATAGTTACGAATCTACTGTACAACATGTAAATGATCAAATATTAACAGTATATTTTTAAAATTCGCTAATAACAATAGAAATAATTTACGTCTTCAATAACAAAGTAAATATCATTAACTGTAAAATCTTCGAGATTAAAGAGTAGTTTATATATATACACAGAGAATTATTAGGAAAATGTATACGCAATATAAAATTTAGTCAAAAAATGAGGGTCTACTTTCCTTTGCACATTTCAGTATAGAGTATAATAATTTTAGGAAACCAGTATCTTTTGGTTTTTCCAAACCGCGCAGTAAACGATTTTTCATTACCGACACGAACTCTCTATTGCTCAATTGATTATCACCTGAAATTAGAAACAAAATATTTGCAGATACGTTAATATTCCAATAAGTTTAATTTGATTAAATTTACATTAATTAAAAAAATTCATATACTCACAGTTTTCGTCAAATATTGTAAAGACTACTCTTATTATATGATCACTGAGGTTAATTCTGGCTACAGTTTTTGCAACATGTTTCAATGTGGCTTGATCAATCGAAGCGCCGGCAATGTGGTAAAATGTTAGAGCGGTGTCGACGTCATTTATATTATTTAGAAAATGGAAGAAATCCATAAATTCTTCTTTAGATATACCGATACTATCATCACCTCGAAATCTAATAAAATAATAAATAAACGACAATAAGCTGAGTTATCAATGTAGCACAATGCGGTAAATACAATAACTCACGTTTTCTTAACCCTCTTCAACATCCTGGCCTTCTTTTTCTCTGTATAACCGGCAAAAGCAAGAAGAAGTTCTGCAAAATCCAATTCCGTAATTTTTCCATTTTCTGGATCTTTGCGCAGAAATTCCAAATATAAAATTTCTTTTTGAAGATCGTGTTGAAAATTCAAGAATTTTTCTATAGTCAATTTTTGATCCAAGTTTTCTCCAAAGAAATATGTAGTTAAAGCTGAATTTACACCCTAAAATTTATATACGTTGCCACTTAATTTTAAGTAGAACCTAAGAAGATACATGCTTTTATTTACAAGACTTAAATTAGTAACTACATGTTTCGTGTTCACTTTGCTTGTTATTTAATTTCGATGCATGGAAGCTCGCTTTTTAGAATAGAAAATTTAGCATTTTTAAAACAGATAAATTATATACTACACTTATATCAATTTCTAAATATACCTCGCATGCATATCGTACGCGCAATTTACAACTTTTGAACGTATTCAACAGTAGATATTTTCTGCTTCAACATCAGCATCGGATCAAGTCAAAAAAGCAATCATTTTGATATAAGTATGTACTTAAATTTTCAGTTTGATAAAAAAGGTGAAATCACATAGTTAAATGAAACACATCATTCAAATTGTAAGAACCAAAAATTCAATGCATAATAGTGATAACTTTAGTTAACATCACATAGTTGAAGAACGACATCATGCTCAAACTATACAATCCATGTTCACATGTAAAGCAGAAAAGTTAAAAGTGACTATAAGCAACACATCAATCTGTTAACAAAGCTACAAGGTTCATAAGGTTTTTAAATCAAATGCAGGAAAAAGTGTTTAAAAAGCATACATTCTTCTTAGAGCGATGCTGTATTAATAATAAATGTTAAAATATATTTAAGAAAATTCATGTCGAGCTCAATTTTGCAAGGCATTCACTTATTTACAAATCTGCCACACTTTAATAAATTACACAATCTTCATTTGGGATCTAATAATACATGAATTTAATATTTAATTCTCAAATGATCATGCAATAATAATACCTATAGTGCAATGTTTGATATGTTAATTACGTTAATTGCAAGTTCATTATTATTTGTATAAGTTTGAATCCGTTATGATAGCCAATTATGATTTAGATTTATTCTTATTTTAGAATATTTTCCGACCTTTATTTGTCGTGCCCCTGCAAAAGCTTTCGAAATTTTCGATGCCCCCTGTATAACATATAATAATTATGTATACTATAGTATATGAGTAAAAAGAAAATATATGCAAAGACAGACCTCAGACCAAGGTTTATTACAGATAAATTGGTAAACTTTAAAAATGAGAATCCTCAAATTTAGCCTTCAGACCACAAGATCTTACAATTTTAATTTAAACTGTTGGGAATTGTAAAGACGATTAAAACTCAAATATGTATCAGGCATTGTGAAAATTAAATAAAATATATATTTAATACATCTACTTAAACTGTGCTTGTTTGAGCATTTCTATGCACTAGTTAATAAAATATTACTACATTGGAATTACACTGTATCCAAAAGAGAATTATGACATACCAGTGTTTTTTCTGCTGCCTAGAAATCGTTATCAGAAAGGTAAGTGTGAGAAAGGGTTGGATTATGCACATTAATTTTATATCAAATGCATTCCACAACAAAACAATGACTGACAATAATATAAAACAAAGATTACATAAAACGATTATTATGAAATTAACAGTCGAATCAGAAAATTTAGAAAAAGAGGATATTATAGGATAGATTAAAGATTATAGCACAAATAAGAAAGGCTTTTCGGAAAGTGAGAGAGTACAGATCACATATAACATATTTCAGCTTTTGTTTTGTTGCATGTGTATATATCAATATAAATTATTATGTTCATTATAAGTCATTGCAGTATTAACCAAAACTCATTATAACTGGTAAGGATTACTGGTTTACAAATCTCATTAATATTTAAAAATAACGATATATCATTCATTATCCATAAAATATGCAAAAATCAATCAAAGAAAGTCCACAAATATTAACGTTATATTCATATTGTAATATATCTATTAGTTCAATAATTTTATTTTGAATAAAAAAAATTAGAATAATATGAAGAAAAGAAATAGTTAAAATGTAGAGAAAATCATAAAAAATTAAAACTTACAGCTTTATTTGATACCACTTATAAGTATTATATATTCTGAATGAATATTGGGTTTTACAAAAAGACTAAACAGCATAATAAAAATAATTGTAAATGAGCACTCTATCATCAAATATTAAAAATTAAAGGTTAAAAAATGTAAACCTAAATAGTAATTAACTTTGTAAAACCCAATATCTAAAAAAAATTATAGTTAACAATGAATGTCAAAATTGAAAAAAATTGGATACCTTGAATGTGTTTCCAGTATTTGCATGGTCTCTGTGTCTAGTTCCAATGCTGGTTTGGTTTCTGACTAAGGTAGCTACTCGAACAAATTCATCGCTGTCAACATCACCATCACCATTTATATCAAACATACGAAAAGCTATTTCAAAATGCCGGCGTGATGCTGAAAGGTAACAATAAATTAATTACAATTAATCTGTAAACATTGTCATGTTTTTATTATTGGGCGACTTACTTGATAATACTGTTAAAAGAAATATGTAATCCGAAAATGTTATCAGACCAGCGGAACCTAGCTTATAGAATATGCTATCTTCTTCTAAAGACAAGTCAAGATTGATTTTGACATCCTACGAAGAAGATAATTACATCAAAATACTATGAATTTAAATGTCATGACAAAAATTATTTACCTTTGGGTCATATTTCTTGTACTGATCTAATCCTAATCCTGCAAAAAAATATAAAAGATATTAGAACAAACATATACATACACATATATATATATATATATATATATATATATATATATATGTATGTAACACGAGTTTGAACATAAAAATAATATAATCTATGAACAAATATAATTAGGTGAATTTTCAATGTAACATTTATAACTATGTGAATGAAATGCCAAAGAAATTAATATAATAAACTTCATGCTTTCTTAAACAAAACTTTATTAAGTTAGTTTTGTGTATTAAGAGAATATTCTTTCCACATATATAACTAAGAGTTTAAGTATATGCTACTTTGAAATAGCAAGAAGCTTTAAAACTAATCATCATATGAAAGTAACAATGCCTCTTGGTTGTCTTGCTCCAGGAGTAATAACTCTCAAAAAATCTGAAGGTGTCATCAAAATTTCGCCATTATGTTTGTGTTGTAATGTCGCAAAATATCGAAATACTTTTTCTGGTGTAGAAAACTGCCGAATTCGATTTTCATATTCTGTTATCTACAGTAGCACATATAAGATTACATGCAAAGCAAAATGATTATTTTTAATGCAAACACCATTGAATAAAAAAACAATACATCACAAAATTTACTATATTTAAAACATGAAGCACAAAGTATTGCATATTTTAGCTTGCTAAATTATAAATGCTGAATAAAATAGAAAAAAATAAAAAACTAGTGATTTTTATAACTTATTGTATTCATTGATATTTGCATCACAATATATACATGCATAGAAGAGTTTTAATTTTTTATGCAAAACTTAAATTAATTTTTATACACAAAATTCAAGAAATCACATCTTTTAAATATATTCATAATTGTAAGCAAAATAAAACAAAATACAAGAAGCTAGATTAAAGCAAAACAAATTTCTACTCATGCAAAAACAGACCAGAAATTATAAAATTTTACAATACAAATCTTAATAAATATAAGACAAATAGATATCCAGACGTTAAGTCATTCCCTTCTGGGTAAAACTATTATTTACCATCAGGTTGTTTCATTCCTGGTGTAATAGCTCTAAGAAAGTCATCAGGAGTCATATAGACTTCGGCACCACTTTCCTGAGATAATCTTATAGTTGCAAAATATCGAAAAATTTTGTCTGGAGTAGAGTAAGCTCGCATCCGATTCTCATATTCTATAATCTTCATGAAAATTTAAATTTTTAATGCAATATTTCTTGAATTTTATGCATATCACCAAGCATGTTTTAAACTTATTGTTAGTACATACGACAGAATATATAGATTTTTCATATATGCAACATATGAATTTAAAAAATATTGATTATGAAATCTTAAAATAACAATTACTCAAAAGAATGCATACATTCCTAAAAATTTGTGCATCAAATAGGTACAACCGTACAATAGGTACATATAGACTTCACTAGAACAATATACATAACTATTTTGCTCAGTCTCTGACCTTCCTATCACGAAATCCAAGTTTTGGTTTCTTTTTTTTCGGTGCAGCTTCTCCATCAGCAGTACTTGACTCTGCATCACTGTCTGACTGAGAGTCTACACCGTTGTGAGTTTCATTATTTTCATCTGGAAAACTTTCATCACCTTCCCCTTCCCTGTCATGTTCCTCTACACTGGCTGCATCAGCTTTTGGAAAATATGTCAAAATCCTATAAAAATTTAAATAAAATAAATTATGATGATAAATCTGTAAATTTAAGGTTAGGTAGGACGTACCAGTTCCAATCTAAACAACAGAGAAAAAAGACTGTACCCAAGAAGGAGTACCAAAGTTTTGAAACAAAAGGTGTAGGTTCTGGTTTGTGACCAAAATTTTTAAACTGCCTTCTTTGCACCTTATTATAGTCATTTTGTTGGTTATAGAAATCAGTTTTTATTAATAGAGTTTTATTTGCAAGCATTCCATAATTTCTAGTAGCTACTAATCTGTTTATAGCTAATTTTGCAAATTGTAATTTAGACATTATATCTATAAAAAAAAGAAATTTAGAGAAGTCAATATCGAAATGTATTTGACATGTCGTAATAAGATCAGATATCAGCATACTTTGAATTGTGTTGACAAAAATAAACTATTGAAATTACATAAGCACCAATTTTTCTGAAACCGTTGCTAAAATTAGAACTCTAATTTATAATTTCACATATTTCATTCATTCATTTCCAAAATATTGAAAATTGCACAATGACTTTTTAGCTATTGTTTGACATTGCAATGCTGCCAACAGATTTCAAAGTGCAATATGCACTTTTTGTCATGGACTATGTAATTCTTAAATGATGTGGATACACGCGGATAATTGGACATATTGGACAATTGGACAAATGCACAATTTTAAAAGATAATAATTATGGCTTAATAAGAAATTGAAGATTATCACACTTGCTTATTTAAATACTTTTTATTTCAGACTTATTTGAATAATACGATAATCATTTCTATAAATATGTAAAAAAAAAGCTGCAAAACTGCAACTTCTTTTTATTGATTATAGAAAAGTTTTTTCATTATATTAAAAATCGTAATAATCATCCCATTTTCATAGTTGATTATAGATCAAATTTATATATTTTTATCATAGAACTTATAATACATGATAAGGTCTATGCTTTTTATAAAACAATTTTTATATAGTTTTCATCAAAGTAGGCGCTTTTACAACATAATACGAAAAACAATTGTTTCAAAATTATTGGCATAGGTTGTCAAAATTATTTGTAATAAAATTTATTAAAAAATTAACATCAAATGCTGAATTTCATCAATTAGTATTAACTAATTATGTATATACATGACAAATTATAGTTGCGTTATTTAATACATTATAGCACAGTTGTTTAATGATTAGTCTGCCAAAGAGAACATTATGAAGGTATAGTAATTAAACTAATACTTTAATTTATAATAATAATAAAAAAGTAGTTTTTATAGAAATTAATCAAATCGTGATTGTAATAGTTAATTTTTTATTCAGTTAACACGAGCAATCAAAATATCTAACGGCCTAATTCGTGGAAAATGGCTATTACCTCGAACACTTCCACCTATAAACAATCGAGTTGTGGTTTCGACTCCTTATGCAAGTTTTAAAAAGATTCCGTATGCTCAACCACCTTTGGGACGATTAAGATTCCATGTAACTGATAGATGCAATTATTAATGCTTATTCTAATGTTTCAACAAATAGTTTTATGTATATGATTCTTAAAAGTAAAAATTTTTTTAAAAAGGATCCTGAGCCTAAGGAAAATTGGGATGGTGTTCTTGACGCATATGATGATGATACGGCAATTATGAATCGTGACCAAGAAGATTGTTTATACCTAAACGTCTATACACCAAAGGTTTCTAATGCATAAACTATCACTATGCTATAATAAATTATATTATCTTAAATTTTAATATAATATTAAAAGCTTCCAAATGAACAAGGAGAGGTTGTGGGATCTCCATTGCCAGTTTTGGCGTATATAAACAGTCCTGCACTGGGTGAAGAAGGTAATAGAGGACCTGATCTAGGACCTGACTTTTTAATCCAACATAATATAGTAGTCGTGACAATGTCATCAAGAAATGGGGCAGCAGGTATGAGTTTTCCAAGTGTTCTATTTGAAAAAATATAATAGCACAGTATATTTCAATTAATAATAATAAATCTGTAACATATATAATTGATTTGTAGGATTTTTAACGACGGCTGATTATCATGCTCCCGGCAACTTTGGACTTAAGGACCAACTTATGGTTCTACAATGGATCAGAGAAAATATTCAAAAATTCTGTGGAGATCCTGATCATGTTACGTTAGCCGGATCTGGACTTGGTGCTGCTTTTGTACATCTTCACATGTTATCTTTGCGATCAAGAGGTAAATATTAATTCAGCACATAAAATATTTATCTCAACAATAATATTAACTTTAAAATATTTTTATGCGATTTTCTCAGGAATGTTCCACGGCGCTATATTGCAAAGTGGTTGCGCACTAGCACCATGGGCAATGAAATCTCTTCATGATGTGCGAACTGCGACGTTTGAACTAGGACGACAAATTGGAATGGAAACTACCAATTCTGAATCTCTTTTACTCAAATTACGATCGGTCGATTATGAAACACTCGAGGGCACAGCTAGTAAAATGGTAATTTTGCGTCGAGACATTTTATACTATATATATTTATATTTTTGGGGATGATTGAAATGAAATGAAATTTCCTATACGTAAAATAAACTATTATAAACTTAAGTGAGTGTTCAGAATAAATAATAATATATAATGAGTTTGAATTCTTTAGACCACATTAGGCTTGATTCCAAGCTTCACTCCAGTCGTTGAAGCAGTTCAGTCGCATCCAGCACCCATGCTAAGAGAAAACCCAAGCTATGCTATCCAAGAAGGTCACTTTAGTAAAGTTCCTGTTGTTATTGGTTGCAATAATAAAGAAGGACTTATGTTAGCACCTAGTGAGTATTAAATTATTCAATGTTATAGAAAAACATTTGTATTACTTTTCTTTTTTTTAATTTCAGTGATTGCCAGGCAACCTGATATGATACCATTAATTTATGATCTGATGTTGAACGAAGTAGTGATGAAAGTTCTAAACGCCCGCACTGTAGATTTGGAAGCCATTAAAATGGATGTAAACAAATTTTATTTCCATGATCGCGAACCTGGGTTATCTTCCTTCCCTGAATTAATAAACGTAAGAATGAAAAATCATATTTTAATTTAATTTTATCATTCTTCTATTTAAAAAGGGATTGTCTTAATTTGATATGCTCTTGTTGCAACGCATATTCTTTTCTGATAACTTTTGATGGGTCAGTAATAATTTAGAGATATTGAATTCTAACATGAATCATTTGCGTGGCACATCATTATCACTCGAATTCAATATATTATCAATTACCTACTGGTTATTAATAACTAATAAAGCATAAATTTGCTACCAGCATGACATTGCTCAGGATAAAAATACAACATAAAATTTTATCGATAAGATATAAATAAACAAACATTAAAATTATGCACTAAGTAATTCGCTGTAACTAGGTCATGTTGCAAACTAATATTGTTTCTTAATCTTAATGTTCACATTAAATGATAAAATTGTTATTTTTGTCTCTATATAAATAATTAAATGCTATAATTTCAAATTGTTTTTTTAAATTGCAATCTATTAATATTAATAGCTTGCTAAACTTTATACCTAATTTCATAATATGTAGACTTTGCAATAGAGATATGATCGATTTTCTAATTCTACGATGAAATTTCCAGATGACAAGCAATAATCAATAATTTTTGCATTTCAGTTTTTCTCTGATGCTTGTTTCGTGTTCTCTATACTAAAATCAGCGATTATGCAGCGTTCTCTGCAAGATGTTTATTTCTATGAATTTAGTTTTTCCGGTGAATACAATTTCAAAGGAAGAGAAGTAAATGATGTCCTTGCGAATGCCTTGAATTTATCCATAGCAGGTAAATATAAACAACGGTAATAAATAAGAGTCACTCATCATATGTAATGCTGCAAAATACATTAGCTATAGGTATATAATATTAGTTAAGTCGAGAGATTTAAAACCTAAGAGATTTACACAAAAGTTGAATTTAATTTTTAAGCTAAACGTAAACTTTAAAAAATAATTCTGTAGAGTTTCTTCAACTAGCAACTCAAAATCCGCAGGTGCTTCCCATGGAGATGAGTTACCGTATTTATTCAACAGTCTGGCTGGTGACGAAGAATATCCTTCAACCCCACCACAATCACCAGAAAGATTAACCTTGCAAAGGATTGCTGCCATGTGGGCGGCTTTCATAAAAACTGGGTATAAATTCACATTTACAATAATAAAAGATGCAATCCTCATTACTAAAAAAACAATCAATCTTAAGCATTTATTTGAGCTCAGTCGTGGGTAAGCGGTTAGAGCAACTGAATCAGAGGTTCCGGGTCCAATCCCCCTTCGAGGAGCCTGATGTCAAGCAGCAGCGACATCCGTTTTTACTTGAAAATATAGATAGCAATATGTTTCCAAGTGAAATTGGCCCTTGTCCAGAATTGCTGCATCAATAAAAATATTTGCTCTATTACAGATATTGTAATAATAAAATTATTACACAGAGATGATACAACTATTTGGGTTGGCATGTGTAAAACCATCGTAGTATTGAGTCAAATTAGCCCAAAAACTTATAGAACTCTTAAGTTCTGATTGTTGTTCAAATATAATAAAAAACATTTATTTCAGTAATCCCACCCATGCTGAAGACAACAATATTTTAAGACTAAGGGAATTGTGGTCTCCAACAACGAAGAAATGTTCTGCCATGTCTTATCTCGACATTGGAAATGATCTGACTATGAAACGCAACTGTTTACCTCAGATCGTTAGGATGGAGTTTTGGCTTAGGGTAGGTCACAAAAATTAACAAACAGACAAGTAACGTAGAATTGAGGGTTCAAGTGTTCATAGTCAATCCATATTTCTTATGCACTAAATATCTATAAGCTATTAATTTTTCAATAAAATTTTAGATACTTTTTCCAAATATCTTATTAGAAATGTTCCAATATTTTTATAATCGTTTTACTATATTTGCTTAATACATATTTATGCATAACTAATTTATCAATGTACCATAATCTAATTTGTTTATAGAAGATATCCTGCACTAACATCTAACTATCTATATATGATTACATTAATTAAATTATTAAATCTAAATATTATTCTCAGTAAATTAAATCAGAAAATGTAAAATTAACTTTGCATATTCAGATACTGCATTTTTAGTTCAATAGATTATATAATAAAGTATTTTATTTTTCAAACATTTTCCTAAAAAAATATTTATTTTATGAGCTTCTGGTTTCAATCAGATTGTTCATTCAAGTAAAACTGACGGGGGTAACGTAGTAAAGCAGAAGTGAATAGATATATTGTGGCATTTCAACCCTTATCATCAAAAATGCCAAAATCTTAATTCGGTTTGAAATGGGGGTGATATCAATAGAACTATGAACATCTGAGTCTTATTGTCACTTGGTGCACCGTATGATAGTGTTTTCAGATTTGGTTCGAAATTAATTTTTGCAGTCATAATATAATTTTATTATTATTAAACCTAGATTTTAAAAATAATTAATATTTGTACAATCTATTTAAATTATTGTATATTTTTATTTTAGCTGCAAGATAAATATAGCCGAGAAGGGCGCGTTCTACCTATGCCTTATGCTCATGCTTTCAACAAGCCGGAGCAAGAAGAAAAGGTCCGAAAATTTGGGCACAGAAACACCGGCTATAGGGCCTAAACCAATTCTGTTAATGAAATAATTTTAACTTTTGTACGTACTGTATTTTTTTCGAATAACATGTTATATTATATATTGTATAACCCTCGTCCAGCTTTCGTAATAGTCTGTATCGATTAAATTTGTTTTTCTTTGAAAACTGTGATGTTGATTTGAATATATGCTAGTAATATATTTTACAGTTTCTTGGAATTGTAGAGAAACTCGCAGGCGGGTAGCAACAATTTCTTTTGGCTCTAAAAATGGATTACGTCAATCAACAAATGGTACTGAATCATTGAATATTAGCCCAAAAAAAAGATAATTCGTTCAGTTATTTTTTAATCTAAACTGAATGCTTAATACAGATAAAGTTGATATATATAGAAACAATTCTGTGTAATATCTTGCGATGAAAATATCTACGTTACAACTAATTTTAATCAAAATTCAATTTTCCATTATGGCATTATCAATATTATGTAAACTATGCATAATAAATTAAATGCGATAATCAATTCATACGTTTTGTATAAATTCATAAAGCGTACCATAATAGTAATTATCATAATTATAATGCAACAGCGGTTTTAAGAAACTGTTATCCAAGCACTTCAGTCTATATAACAATTTATTAAAAGCAACTTAATAAAAAAAATTTCATTTAATTCAAAACCACTTCTGAAGCGATTGATATTACTTTAAATTTATTTTTAAAAGTTCGTGTTTACTTTCAACGCGTAAACTTTGTGTTTACTTCTAACAGTTTTCAAAATGATTTTGCAACTTTAGCAGAAAACTTCACTTAGAAATTATTCGAAGACAAATATTCAACTAGATTTATATGCGACATCCACACATATATACATACACGCACGCACACACACACACAGGTAACAAGTTAAGACGCGCTTCGTATGGACGAGGTCGCGAATTAAAGCCTCCGCTGTGGCAACCTGACATCGGGCAGCAGCGATGTCCAATTTCACTTAAAAATATAGATCAATATGTTTCCAATTAAACATAAGCCCATTTCGGGAACTGCGAAATAGCAATATAAAATCTCCCACATTTTTCTTCCCTAAATCGAGTTGGAGTTTAACCCAGCTGCCGGACCTGCCCTAAGGCAGTACCACCTATTATTATGTATAAGTGTGTGTATATACTTATAGATTTTGTACTGGAAATTTAATGCTTCTGATTGAACTCATAAGAGAAAACGTGCAAATAGTTGTTCAATATATCGAAAGAAAAAAAACATTTCGTAAACTTTATGATAGTTCTACGAAACTATCCTAATTCATATTCAATATGCCTTCTATAAAAATCGTTTATTAAATCTATACATTTTGGCTCTTATAGTGATAAAATCCTATGATTTCCAACATACAGTCAAAATGTATATTATGAAAAATCCATAAAAGTCAAGATCGTAATATTGTTTAAACCTGTTAGATTTTTATTTAGACTCTACGGATAACTGATAATTCATGAATAGTTATAATATCAATTCAAATCAATATCAAATTAATTTCTATTCAACTATTAATCCATTTTTCAACTTTTCCAATTAAATACATTTTTTTATAAATAATCAAAATTAGGAAGAGTTATAATAAAATTATTTTTATATAATGTAAACGAACAAAGTATGTTCATTTATAATCTGGAGGCTTCGGTCATATGTAAGCTCATAAGCGAATGTTAAAATAGACGTTTGAATTACTCTATTTACTACAGCAAGTCAATTAAAATTTGATCTTTATTTCTGATTTATCATTGTCTTTCTATAGATTTCAAAATAATTAGTAAAGGATAATATAAAATTTATTCCAATGCATATAAAAACTATTAATCATGCTACGCCGTTGATTGCATATAAAAACTATTATTTATGCCATAGGGATGATCTAGATGAAGATTGAAAAGATTGCAGATACACATATCAGTATCGGAAAGTAAGATATATTTATTATGTAATATTACATAAATATAGAAAATCTATGAATCCTTAGAAAAAATCCAACGATGGTTACTGCTCTAAGCCACCCGTTGTTAACACCAACTCACGTTCGATGCACGTCATCACGTACTACAAACATTGTATAAATATGAATATATATATATATATATATATATATATATATATAAATATAATATCTAGGTCAAATTGCGTATGTACATGGCAATTGAACTAGATTTTCATCCCTGAAGAGGTTACTAGAGGACAAAGGGCTTTTGCGCAAGTTTCGCAACAAAAACGCATGCGCCCTCAGCATCTCGACAGGACCGAGAGAGTTTCTCGTGGGGCGCGGGGCCTTTATTAGCAATGTTCTAACTTAGATTAGAAAAAAAATCAACAGAAATCTAACATTAAATATTAATTACCCATATTTCCTTGCTCCTTGAAAATTGTCTTCTATAATTAAAAATTTGATCTTCCACTTTTTTATAACCCATTTTAAATGATTTCAACATGAAATCAATATGTTCCAATTCAATACTATATAAATTAAAACAAAAATATCGACAGAATATTGATTCTCAACCACATCAATTTTAATTTTGTTGTAACTCTAACTTTAACTTTAATACTGAACAGAGAAGCTTGTTGAAGACAATGAAAAAATATTTAGAAATTAGCAATAATATAGGTAAGGTGCTAAGCAAGTGCTAAGCTATTTTTTGTATAATGGAGCTTGTAATTTCTACCAAATTCTATAAAATTTCAATTTCCATAACTTTGTGGCGTTTTATTTAAGCACAAAATTATTTACTAAATGCAAAGCAAGGGATATTAGGTCCCAAAACGAGGTATCACAATATCACTTGATTTTATCTTAAAAATTTAAATCCTTTGTTATTTGTGGCTTATTTTATTATTAACTGCGTTTGATTTTCATATTCATTGGATCCAGAGCAAAATACCATGTCTAACATTTAGCTGGGCTCGCCCGTAGGTAAGCGGTTAAGAGCGACGGGACTTGTTTCAGAGGTCCCGGGTTCGATACCCACCTCGAGCAGCCTGTTGTCAGGCAGCAGTGACAACGATTTTCACTTGAAAATATAGATAGAAATATGTTTCCAAGTGAAAATAGCCGGCATTGATGAACCAATAAAATGTCAGCCCTATTAGATTAATTCTAATAAGAAAAATCATCAAATATAGATGGATTAACCATTGGGTTACCATCTAAAAAAATACGAAGTAAGGAGAAGTTACAGCCCAACAGCTCATAGGACGTAAGGTTCTGATTGCTGTTCAAAAATGAATAATAAAAAAAATCCATTAATTACGTAGGGTTTTTAGGGAGAGGGGTATAGTAAGGTATCACGTTACTATACCCCACCTTTTTTAAATTCAAGCATTTTTCAAAAATCAAAAATTTTACTTTTTTTTCGTAACTGAAAATACACGTGATCTTGGTGGGGGTTGGGGGGGGGGTTAATTTTGAATATTACCACGTATCACCAAGGGAGAGAGGGGGTCCAAAATTTCTTAAAAAATCGATCACGTGATTAATGGATGTCCCCTCAGTGAATGCACTGATCTGGTGCACTGATCTGATGAAATTCAGTGAAGACACTTTTCTTTTAAAATCACTTTTCAAAAAAACTCATAACTCTCTCATTTAAAATATTAAGTCAATATTGGCGTTTTTTCTATTTTGCATATATTTTTGTCAAAAGTCATTTGCACAAAACATTTCAAGAAACTCCATTTTCGCCCGTTTTATAAATTTTCTGGTTCAGAAAATCGAATAGGTTTTTGGACGTGGATATTGTAGGCGGTGCTTGTTGATGCAGCATCCAGTGCACATACCGTTAGTGAAAATGTGAAAAATATGCCGTATTTCTTGATTTGCGAAACGGACCGCATTTTAATGTTTGGCGGCACGGACAGAACGCGTTTTGATCGTTTAAGAGTTGCGTGCGATATGAACGCGGTCGAAAACGAGGCAGTTTTCATGGAAGATAAAGCTTCTTAGTGAAAATTTAAGAAAAGCGGCGTCTTTGTGTAAGTAATATGTATTTATATTTATATATTTGTTCATAATCGTACGATATAAATATCTGCAATGTTTTTATAACGATGTTTTCAGTTGCCGTCACTGAATTTACGAACAAAAAAATTTAAAGGTTAAAAATTAATTTGTAAATTGAAACATTAAAAAATGATCCAAATTTTATTTAACTATTAGAATTATTTGATGAGTCAACAAATACTAAAAGTTTTTGAAAAATTATTTTATTAGGAATTATTATTACTGTTGCTTTATACATCTGCATATATGTATGTAGAAATTCCAAACGTCTATACATAAATATACAGAATTCATGAATAAAACCAATATTATTTATTAAAAAAGATTATGCACACATTTGTACATATGTATATATATATATATATATATATATATATATATTTATGTGTGTGTGTTTGACTTGATGTTCGTATATTCAATGTGAGTATTTATTTTTATAAATAATTATACACGTAGGATCAAAGCACGTAAGGCAAAAAGAGATTTGGGTTTTAAATGAATATTTAATTTGGGATACTCTGCGAAAATTTAAATAAATAATGTATTATCTCAAATATTAAAACGCCTTTACATGTCATAAGAGTAATCATAATTTTAATAAAATGTACTTTGTATTATAAATGTTTTGTAGCCGCTTTTAGAGGTTTCAATTGATGAGAAAACAAAAATAGTATCAATTACAAATGGTTCTAAATAAAAACTCTTAATTCATTTTACTAGTAATATATAAATAAATTGTGCAGTAGCGATGTCCATTTTCACTTGGAAATATAGATTAAAAATTTGTTTCCATTTGAAAAGAAGCCCATTTTGGGCACTGCAGTGTGAAATGGCAATGGAAAACCTCTCACACTAATCATTCCTGAATCGAGTTGAAGTTTAACTCAGCTCTCGGACTTGCCCTAGGGCAGTATGTACTACCCATCATATATCTATTATATAAATAAAATGAATTATAAGTATTTTTCTTAACAATTTGTAATGAAACTACAATGTATGGGTAATGTTTTAGCATGGCTTCAATAATTAAGTAACTTTACATAAATTTATTTGTTTTGCATGGACTCATATATTAGAGCTTGCTGATGAATTCATACTAAAGTCTTATTCTTTTGTTTTAATCTAATATAGTGTAGAAATTATCATCTATATAAATATATTACTCCTTGCAAAAATCTAATGTAGTGTTCTAATTAGTATATGCATATAAAAATGTATAATAGAAATAAATATGTCCTCACTTTAATCTCCTCAAGACTTTTTGCTTATAACACGACATCGTCAGAGTGAAATATTAATAAAATATTCGTTAATATTTCATTAATTATATCTTTAAAAGTAGTCAAACGATTTATTCCAATAGAGAGCCCAACGTTTCATGGGGACAGTACCCTCCAAGGTGAAGTACTGTCTGGGGCGGGCCAACACGCTCCTTTTACACGCAAAGGAGATTCAAAGACGCAGGAGGCAAAACGTAATAACATCAATTTATTTCTTATTTATATTTCAATGATGCTTTGCAAATAAAAATGGTCGGTTATAATGTAGTATAGATATCGTAATAGAATATGAAAACATGGAAATGCTTTCAAAGTCGCAAATTCGTTTTGAGCGTTACTCTGAAGGATAGTTATTAAAACCGTTTTCAATGATAATTTGTATTTAAGATTTTTTTATTATTCAAGAATTAAGAACAATTCAAGCAAGTTAAAATCAAGCTTTGCTAGATAATTTTCTGTAAAGATTTGTGAAGTCGTATTTTGTAAAAAAAAAAAAAAAATTAACTAAAAAAAAATTTAAATGTATGTATATATATATATATATATATATATTTATATAAGTATATATGTATATGTATAAATTTGTAGATAGCGTTTCGTCGTTACAATATATAAAAATTGCTTTCTTCATATTGCAATTTCTATCAAAAATCATATTTCAAACATCATTCTTATCCTTTTCCTTTTCTGTATACTTTATATCCTTTGCCTAAAGATATTTACATCCAGTCGGAAATATCTTTGTAAAATATTGATTTTAGTACACAAAATTTATTTGAACACATAAAATGGAAAAGTTTTTCAATAAAAGCAGCAACTGTGTTAGCCCGCAAACTGTATTAAAAATGATTTTTACTCTTTCCATTGGCTCAGATCCAAGAAACATTATACACGATGTGGTTGTTACAGCATGTTTGAACAGCGATCAAGAGTTAATGCCATTTCCCAACAGATTGAGGAAAACACATTGAATTTAAATTTTATTGGAATAAAAATTGGAATAAGCTTCCACCACCAAGAGCAATAATTTGAAATTTAAAGGAAAATTGAGTGCTATAATAGAATAAGCAGAAGGATGAAATCTGTGCTTATTCTTCTATATATTCATATAGATAATATGAAACTTTATATTTCGGTTTATTGACTATTTATTTTTACTTTTCAGAAAATGGAACACCAGCAAACTCAGGCCCATCAGGGCCAACATGCGAGCGGTCAACAACAATCTCAACACCAATCAACCATTCCAACCAGTAAGTCTCTGGTTCCTGGTAACCCGCTGATGTGCTGCGTTTGCGATCAGTACTTCCAGGAACCATGTTTGCTGCAATGTTACCATACATTTTGCAAAAGATGCCTGGCGAACAGAATATTTGATGGAAGAATTCAATGCCCTATGTGTGGGTAAGGGAATTATTAGTTTAACCAACTGTATGATCGGTAGCATTTAAATGATATGCGGTTACCAACTGGCTCAGCCGCCAGACTTTAGTTAAAGACAATTAAATTTTTTTCCCGTACTATGTGATTATACTCTACTAATATATTTATAATAATAATAGTAATAATACTCTCACGAAATTTGTTTTTCAACATCGCTATTTGCAAAACTACAAAATAAAGTTAACAAAAATAATTTTAATGAAATAATGTAATTATGCCAAATATTGCAGCATGTATAATTCCATGTTCCATGCATAATAAATATATAAACGTTGCTTTAAAGAAAAGGAGATACATGACCCTAGCTCATGAACAGAATTACGATTGCCAAAATAAAGAATAATGCCTACATTTTCTAACAAAATAAATACAAACAAGAAAGCATAAAATAAAATCGTCGTTTTCTTTGAATAATACATGACAACATAAAATCAAATTGATTTGTTTTAGGCAAACAACACCCATAAAAGACGGGGCGGCGGGTTTGCAAATAGACACTTTGATGAAAGAGCTGATAGAGTTAGCAAATACTGAAAATCCACCTTGCGCAAATTGCGACCGAAGAGACAGAAACAATATGTACTATTGTGTCACCTGTGGTATGTCTTTAGATAAGTCTGTACTTATTCAATTATTAATGATAATTGATTTTACAGCAATAAAGTCACATATAATATAAACCAGTATTTAAAATATTATTGTAAGTTCCTATTAAATTCCTATTAGTTTCTATCTTAAAAAGAGCTAGTTTCTCATGTAGATTTTTATTACATATCAACAACAATTTTTCATTAAACCGTTTCATTTAGCTCGACAAAACTTGGGCCCAAGTGTTACGGTGGGCCGAGCTGGCTTATCCATCATTTTTTGGCCAAAATTTTCATCACGAACCAAACTCGTTAAAGCACAAGAAGAGGTTAAAAGTAGCAGAAACTAATCTGGTGTAAATAAAAAATTACTTTAAAAACAAATGAGCAGATTAAATTAATTTCGAAACGAAGTCGATATTATCAGAAATTTGGATAAAACAAGGTCAACGGCAACAGTGATCACATTAAAGACAGAAGTCTATTCCACCTATTGATTATTTATTTACTGCTCTTTTATTCGAAAATCGGTCTTTTATTGCAGCAATATCTCGTATAATCGCGAATGAAATTTATAGGGCAGGCGCTTTGCGGCCAATGCAGAGAAAACACGCACCGAGCAAAAATGTTTGCAGCACACGAAGTGATACATACCTCCAAATGTGCTACAGAACCTAAAAGGGTAAATATATAATAAGACCAAAATTTATACCTACATTCTAATCATTTCTGAAAGACACAAGATCGATGTTATTACATTTGAAAAATGCTTAACACGTTCAGCCCGGCGTCAAATTTGTTGTCCTTTCTGTTCAACCCTAGGAACCGAAGCCGAGCTAAATGTGTTAAAAAAGTCTTGTGGATAATAGAAATTAATTATAGATTATATGTAAAAGACAGTAAATTATGTATCCTTTTCAGTGTCCGACTCATGGAGAGCATTACATAATGTTTTGCGCCCCCCAACGAACAATGCTTTGTGTGAATTGTTTCCGAGATGCTCCACCTGACAAACGAACTCATTGTGTAGATATTGACACGGCTTATAATCAATCAAGAAAACGATTGGAAGAAGCACAATCGGTTAGAAAATCTTTTAATTTATAATGAAAAACTTTATTTTCAAAACAATCATCAGTCGGGTTCTCAAATTCGTTAACAATCAGTTCTATTATCAATTTAGTCTTATTAGTGGTATATATTTTCAGGGAATAATTGAATTACAATCTTGTGTCCGTGAAAGCATCATGCTGTTTAAAAATTTACTAGACGAAGTGACCTCAAACATGGAAGAAGAAAAGCAAATAATAAATACATTCTGTCACGGAATGCAAGAATCTATCGAGAAAACTCACGCGGCTATGGCGATGGAAGTTCAGCGGTAAAGAAAATGGAACTTGGAAAAAAATACGAATAAAAAATGATTGTTTCTCCTTTCAGACAATTTGAAACAAAACAGCGAATGTTCCTAGGCCAATTGACTTCAGTTTCTACCGTGATGCCAATTTTACAACTGCATCTCATGCTGAGCGTCAATTTTTCCGCAACCGCCAATAAATTCCAATTTTTAGAGTTAGTATATGCCATGTTCGAGAGACTAGCAATAGTAGCGAGGTTGGGAAATGTTCAGAGGTAAAATACTAGTCAATGATATTTTACGTGAAACGAGCTATTGAAAATATTTTTTTTATATTTTAAGGCCAAAACATACTAGTACAATTCGGACGAATTATCGGAATGAGTTTGCCCACTGCCTAGAGCCTTGGATTGGCAAAATGCTTAAAGAACCTTGTAAAGGTATATTATTTGAACATTATATATAAATCTATAAATAATTTATGTTAATATTTTTCAATAGATTATGAAGGAAAGTCAATGCCTGTTTCTGGAAACACAACTGCGTCGATTATTAAAACTATGAAGTCTACATTGCCAACTGGAGATGGTCCGTTTACTAACCACTGCCAACAATTTAACAACATTCTTAAGGTAGAATATAAGAAAAACGTAACTAATTTATAATTTTAAATTAATACCCAAACTCAATTAAACATGCAAAGAGTTACTTATTTCAATAAAATTAAATTAAACGGATATATTAACAAAATATAGAAAAATGTATTAAATAAAAAAGCATTTTTATTATGATACTATATTAAAAGAAGTCATTACAAAATCGATCATGAGCCTAAATATTGTATCAAAATTTATTGGATTTATCCAAGTATTTAATTATTATTAAACTAGTAATAATTTATGATGATTTAAAAGTCTATTCATTATTTTTTAGGAATTTAGCAAGCAATTATACGAAGTGAAAGAACAAGTTAACGCTCTACATCGTGATGTATCTATTATAAGGAGGACACATACTCCACCACTAGGTGTTAGGTAAATGATATAGATTTTTAAAAAATCAATAAAGAATCATTCCTTTAATTTATCTCTGAATCAAATATTAATATAATAATGCAATATTAAACAAGAATAGATAAATTATATAATTAAACGTTGATGACTTTTGTAAAACAATTAAACTCTATTGGATATTGTTATTCTGATTAATAAGTATTACTATTACAAGTTATTTTTCATTTATTTCAAATTTAGGAATTATCGAATATATGTTGCAATGGTAAGAGCAGCCGCATTATTTCCAATCCGCATTTCTATATCACAATTATTTTTTGTTTGTTCACTTTGAAGCTAGATAATATATAATTTAAGACGCAATTGCCGTTTTAATATCTCTGTAATTGATTGATTAATACTAATTAATTCTGCAATTTGACATGAACGAATAAATGTATGCAAATATCAGTCAGTTACCACCTTACGCAAATGAAATTTTGATTTTTAATCGGTTCATAAAAAATGCTTTCGATAGAATTACAATAGTTTTAATAAAGAAATGGTTTTATGTGCATAATATTACCTCAAATTTTAGCTAATCTTCTCGTCACTTCAAGCCAACTTTTCACAATTTTCTTAAACTTTGTACTAATTGTTATGTAATTTGTAACATAAGTGTACAGCAAGACCATATTTATTTCTTCGCACATTTTTAGTCCAGATATACGATTTCATCAGAACCATCCTCAGATGTATTTCGAGTTACTATGAGTATATAAAATCCTCTAGAGTAGTAAAACTTGGCAACCCCTGTCGCAACCCGAATATTTCGACAAATACTAAATGTCGCTTATTACACAGTCGCCGAATATATTCTGCCGGATTTTGATAATTATCGAATCAAGTCAAAACTCTCAAAGGTCGCGATCTCATTGCATTGGAAATATTTCTGGAGGTTAAAGATGGCATACTTTTATATTTGGCAGTAAACGTAATCAATATAAGGTGATTTTTAGATGATTTATTGTAAATGAAACAAAAACAAAATATACCAAAATAGAAATGATGTAGAGAATTTTTCACAAATATTTGATGAGCCACAGTTAAGTAAATGAAACCTTTTTCTGATACCACCTGGGTCATATAAACTAATTATTAACTAAATTATTTTCATTTGATTAGGTATGATTGTATTGCAAGAGATTGTGCACTTCTTGACAAAAGCCTGGAAAAACATCAAGGAGATCTAGAGAAGTCAAAAGTTGTTTTTGAAGGAATTTGGGAACAACAGTTAGTTCGCATACAGACAGAGAAGGAAATATTTCATGATCAGGTAAAATTGACTCACAATTAGTATGATTATTATCAAAATTTCAAAATTAAACGGTAATACCTAAAAAAAGCTTAATATTGCAGTAGTAGATTTGAGCAATAGATTTAATCAGATTTCTATGATATTTTTTCAAAGAATTATATCACTACGTAACATGATCTAATAAATATTGATTTCAGATTACTGAAATTTTATCTTTGCGAAATGAAGTGAAACAATTATCAGGAGCGGCTCAAAAATTGGAACCTTATATCAAGAGCTTTTTAGGAGATAGTGGACCTACCCAAATCAATACAATAGCAACTGAAGCCACTCAACAGCATATCAAAACCTTGTTAGAACATCTAGAATTGATGAACATTGATAAGTAAGTTAGGTTTTATCCAAAAAATGCGTTAAGATATGGAAAACACTTATGTATTAAAATATTGGCAATACGGCGTAACTAGCAGAACTAGCAGCAGAATGATTTTTTAATACAATATTGATAAATCTGAACTACTAGAGTTAAAATTGATCAAGTCAGCCAGACTCTTCTCTACTTTCACAATGATTTTTAACCTTGAATTGAAACATCTATTCGTAATTTATTAATAACGATAAAATAATTCGTAAACTAATAATAACGATAAATTTATTTCAGTGCTATGGCCCCAGACTGCAAATTGCATTCTGCAACTTCAATGTCTTCTATGGGACGGAGCCGTTTCAATACTGGAGATTCAATATCCGACTATAATCCATATGCAGAGAGCAAACGGAACGTTATTAGCCAAATAATTCATAAAGTAAATATAATTCATAAGTTTATATAAGTAAGATTTGATATTTATTAACACTATTTTCATAAATCAGGTCAAAGCCAAAGATGATAGAAGAAAATCGCCAAATAGGGCAGAGGATAGAATGTTCGAGCAGGACCAAAAAATGATAGGAGATCCTTCTAAAGGTAAAACGATATTTAAACACAAAAAATAGAAGATTAGTACGCATATTCTTCAAGAAATTATTATATTACGTAATAATCTATGTGATATATGAAATACAGTACCTACTTGTTAATGCTTACGATTAGCAATGTTACACTATCACTAAATCTATTGTTATTGCACAATTATGTTCAAGCATGATTCTTGTGAGCTATTTGAAACAAAGATGAATATATGTTTTGTTTGGAAAACATAAAAATTGTCTTATCATTGCATCTGCAAAATCAAATGTCAGTTTCAAATATACAATCGATGTGAGATAGATTATAAATAACTATATTACGATAACAAAATTTAGACAAAAATTTGATTTTGTTTTTCAAACAACCGTACTGAAATTTGTTTAAAAAGTGTTATTTCCAGGAAAGTCAGGAGACGAAGCTTCATCAAGAAAATCAGTTTCCACGGCCGCCGAACGGTATAGACTTGTCGACCAAGAGAAACTTGACGAGCTCTTGAGAAAATCTGCAATTGATAAAGTGCAGGCTGCTTTGCGAGGAAAAATCGACCTAACGGAACTCAGCAAAGAATTGTTATCTAAAAAATCTATAAGTGTAAGTGGAAGTAGAAGCAATCTACTTTGTAAAAAACAAAGTCTTGGTGATTCCACACCGGCACCTAAACATAGAGATCTGAAGAAAATGCACAAATCTTATGAAAAGCTTAACGAAAAGAAAATTGTAAAAGCAGAAGTTATAGCTCATCGAGAACCAGATTGTTATATGGATAAAGACCTCAGACAAACACCAAGAAGTGCAACGCCGACTAGTCGAAAACAGAAGGAGTCACAATTGAAAAAAGATCGTAGAGCACTTTCCGATTCGTTATTAAGATCACTTAATCTCGACACAATGGCTCAATCAAATGCAACTTATCAGCGAATATCGGATGCTACATCTTCAAGAAGATCGCACAGTATTAGCGTAGCTCCAAAAGGAAAATCTAGGGAACAGAGTCCAGCATCAGAAAAAATGAAACGCAAAGTCTATCCGTATTCTGATTCTGAAGATGTTAAATATTATACACGACATGATGAATCTGTAGAATCCTTAAGTACTGAAAGTGTAGCTTCAGGGCGTCCGTACACACCCGAAAAAACATTCGTCGTCACTTATGGAAGTAAAAAATCTGGTAAAAATGGTGCTGCCCAAAAACAACGCGCTTGGGAAACGTTTCCTCCTAAGAGACGACCATGTAAATCCAGGAATGGAAATGGTAAAATTCGAACTCATCAATACATCAAAACAAAAGATTTAAGGTCGGGATTGAAATCAACACAAGTGTGCACCTCTGAAGAGGATACCGAAAAGCATGTTGTATTTGGAGCTCATTATAAAGAAAACTTAAATTCAAAAGACAATTTTGACGCCGGCGTCAATCTTAGAAAGACTGATAGTTTCGAAGGGCACGAAGAAGCCGTCCGCAGTTTAATAGCCGTAGTTCACGAGACAAGAGCTCAAAATATGAGTCGCAAGCAAAGGAATAATAAGTAAATATAATAAAAATGTTATAGCCAACGTTTCTCAAAGTAGAAGTGAAATGAGTAGATTTCTGGTTATTCAAAAATGCACTATAAGTATCTGAATTGTAATGCCGTATATTAAAAGATTATTTCTATTACTCTGACTTTAGTGTGAGAGTCGTCTTTGAGAAGCGATGTCATATTAAATTAAGTCAATACTGTTACCATTGTAGCCCAAACGTAATAAACTTTGTATTATTCACTATTGTAATAAAAATAATGTATCAATTTTGATAATTATATACACTATATATCGGGAATATTAGAAATAAACTTTAGAATTTCATAAACCGACTTGGAAATATACATATAAACAATTTATTGAATATAAGCATTGATATAATATTGTTATATGTTATATGTAATAAAAATGGATTTAACAGGATTTATAATGGAATTAAATATGATCATTTAATATAAATTCATTGCATAACATTTAAATTACTGGTCTTGTATTTATTTTATTTAACGATTTCTCTTCCTATTAATAAAGAAAATGTCATATTTTTACCCAAATCAAAACATCTAAGGTTATAAACAAACTGAAGTGTGATTCCTTCGAACAAGCCAATTTTTCTGATATTTGGACGAGCTAAAAGCGAGCTAATAGACCTTGATTTCCAAAATTAGTTATTCATTCTATTAATAATTGGAAAAAATGTTTTTAAACATTTCGATTTAAGACACCACGTCTTTTTTCATCTTAGTGGAAAAGGAATCATCTTTAATTAGATCCGAAAACCCAGCAATTAGATCAAAAGATTCATTCCACGAATCACCTAAAGGAATCGTTAAGACAAAGTCCCAAAATGACGCATCGGATCGGTCCATTAACATCAACGACCATTAACAGGGTAACGGCAGAACAAAAATACCAGACGGACCGGTCATACACAATTAAACTTCGCGCATCTTCAATTGAGGACCTTCAATAAATTTAAAATACACAACGACATATTTAAAATTCACACACAGTAGACTGTGAGAGCCAATAAAAACTTTTTAAATGCATTCATTTGACATCAATTGCATTTGTGCCGAATGTTAACATATATCATTATGTGATGTGTCCGAGTCATATCGTAGATATTAATATGACCCCAAACTCCGATTCGCGAACGTCTGAAGGATACACTTGACATTGATCATTGTCTGGAATAGATCACAAGGCCAACTGAGAAATCTAGAACTTTTATAATAGACGATCTTGATCTTGAACACGGGACTTGGATCAATTTAAATAGATAGTTATCGTAATCAATAATATAATGTGAATCAATAATGAAATGGAAGCCATTGCCAATATTCTATGTTTTTCCAGAATCATCATTCCTTAATTATTATGAATCACAATTAACTTTATATTTCGAATTTCTAGTTAATATAAAAATATCATTAAGCTTATATAAAATATAAGTTTATACTTATAAAAATTAATACAACTAGAAAAAAGTTATGATATGATAGAAATAATCTGGTCAAGAAATGTGAACAAAGAAGTACATATAAAAGATATTTAAATACAGAGCGGTTTAACAATTGATTGCATAAAAACTGACAAAAATCTGCATGTTACTACAAATAAACGAGAAGTAAATCTAAATTAATAAAATATTTTTAATTACTACGTGAAATTTTTCAATGTGTTTGCATTATTAACAATGCCATTGCGGTGACAAAATATTCAGAACTATTAGACAAAGATCACAAAACGATATATATTTTTATGGTTGATCAGAGAAATCAATGGCAAGATTCCATAAACGTTAATTCGATTTACAATTACTTTCCCGCAGGGTAAGTTATTGTAATCGTCCAGAAAAAGAAATTGAAAATTTTTACATTTATTCACGTTTTGAAGCTTTCTGAACATTTTGGCATACCTCAGAAAAAATGGATAAAAGTGAAAAGAAAAAAAATCTGTTGCTCGTTATCATAATAATATCTATTATTATTGATTACGGCTTGCTTATGAATAAATAAATAAATAAATAAACAAATAATAATAATAATAAGAGTGAGGATAATGAAAAAATAAATTCATCGCCAGAAGAAAAGAAATTTCTACATAATATATTTTCTAATATGTCGAAAAAAACGACAAGTAAATATATAGGTGTATCCTAAAATTGATGTTTGAGACCCATAAATAGATAAGAGTAGCCAAATACTAGACTTTAAATCCATTCATTCTTGAATTGTTATATTTTATTTCAAATAAATTAGATTTTAAAGATTTTTTTAGCTAATGCTTTTATTTTTATTACAGTATATTTTTCTATAACAATAAAATAATTGATAATTATATGAGTGACGACATCAAATGCAAAACGTGTATTATACTTTCAAATCAATTTTTAAATTGTCAACTAACAAAGCTAAATGACCTTTAATTCGTAAACTTTTTATATCCCGTGTGAATATTAATTATTCCTTCGTATTCATTTTTTTTAAAATAAACATGTGGAAAACGATGTCTCGTTGACGAAAAATATTATAATATTTTGTGATGAAAAAAAAATGGTTTTATTGGGTATATTGCTGAATTATATTAGGATGTGCACATTTAAAATAAAATTTGTTATAAAAACATTCGTAATTAATAATAATGTTATTAATTATTATTATTTTGTTGTCTTACCATGGTTAACTCGTCAATTCGCTATCACATAACACTTTAGTTTTATTGTAAGATTACATGTTTCGAAGTCTTTTTATTCGGACGAAATTATAAAACACACTTACGGGATGGCATATTACAACTAACTGCAAAAAGTTAATACGAACACATGCTGCAATGTGAATATTTGCAGCGTGTAGCTGACCAGGGGCGCACTTTGAAAATTAATTTGCGGCCGATTCAATAGCAACCGTATGCTCTTTTTCTAATGGTGAAATAATTATATATTTTATCAAACAAAAATTAGCTTTGGTAACATTTCAATATTTGTTTGAAATCGGGATGTATTTGGTATTACATGTAACCCCCGCATAACAAGGTACTTCTATAACAAGCATTAAGAATTGAGCAAAACCCTAATAAAATAAAAAATATAGTAAAACCTATGAAAATTAAACTTTATTTAATCTAAAATTAGTAAAATCGCAGTACAATAGCTCAATAAATATGATGAAACTAGTGCAAAAATAACTAATTTGATACTTATTATTCGAACGCGTTCGTTGTATAGAAAAATTTTTTAGGCTTATCCGAGCAATTAAACAATTAGCCTTAAACAAAGATGTGGTAAATATATAGATATCTTCTTACTAATATATAAATCACCAAGCAAGTAATCGCAAATATATTGTTTTTGCAAAAAATAAGGCACGGATCTGGAGGTACAGAAAACTGCACAGAGGATGAGGATACCTTGCAAAAAAAGGATTGTATTGTGTTGTGCACTTACTTGTTAATTATTATGAAAAACAATCATGTAATTATGTAATGTATATTACTCCTTAAAAAAAATTATAAATATATCAATATTTGTTATATAATCATGATTTGTAGCATGATTTTCTGAATTATTGAAACGTAACCCCTCTTTTTCCCGTATAATACGGATTAGCATAACACGCTATTTTTTTGTAACGTAACTCCCGTGTTATGCGAGGGTAAACCAGTACTTTTATAATATAATAAAATCGTAAAAAAATGAAATATTTTTCAGATTAAAATTCATTGCCAAAATATATAAATATTCTATAAAAAATAAGAATATTTAATACCGCGAATGCGAATCAAAATAATAACCGACGACAAAAATAATGAATGGATATTTTAGATCGATTTCTTAAACATTCCGGAATATTTAAAAAATATTTAGCACTTCAAATAACTTTATTAAATGCTCTAAATATTACATTTTTTTATAAGCAAGAAAATACTATATTGCTTCTGTTAACAAACTTAAATACGAAATTTTTATATTGTCATAATTTTTAAATAAAATATCTTATCAATAACAAAATGTTTATGTACTTACATATTTATGTATGTATTAATTTAATGTAAAATATAATTAGTAAATTGAAAAGATAAAAATATTAAATATTATAATTAATCATTATATTTTAATTTTTTTTAACGAAATAATAATTTAATTTTTTATGAAGACTAGTAATTGCTTTAATATATACAAATATTTTGAATTTTAAGGCCAACATATAACCAGTAAAATACTTTACTCACAAAAATCTTAGAAAACATCTATTATATTAAAAATTTCATAATTTAAATGGTTATGAGGCACTATTTTTTCTATATTTATGGAATGTTGCTTTATTGTGCACCTTGTGTAAAAAACAAGCACATATATATTAATTATGTATCTTTATATTTAACATCAATGTTTTAAATATTAATTTATAAAAAAAATGTGCTGATGTGACTACCAAGATCATTAAAAAGCATGGGAACTTATATCAATAGTAATTGTAGAATAAATTAATAACACAATTTTATCTATTAATGAGAGTTAAAATCCCAAAGTCATCTTTTACACATAGCCTTGTGAAAATTACTTAACACATGAATGATAGCAGTATGTCTTGTAAGTCTCAAGTGCATATATAAAACACTGAGCTTGTATTATTTTTTTGAATAATTTTCATAGTTAGATTTGCAAAATATATTTTAAGTAAAAATAAATAACGTAGATATAGGAAATATATTCCTAGATCATAATAAATATTAAAGGTGCCGTTTCAAAATCCCTGTACTTCTAATTTCAAATTATCTATAAACACTAACTAGCAGAAAGGTAATTGGTATCATTTCTAACAGAATTGATATCAAATCAAAAATATGTATACCTTTTATTGACTTCCTGTACCATTTCTAGAAATATGACGCAATTTTTGTTCAAGTTTTTGTACTGTAGCAGTAAGTTGAGCATTTTCACAGTACATTTCTTTAGCCAGCATATCATTTTGTATTAGACGAGATTGTTGTTCAGCACAAATTCGACTTTGAATATCTATTCGATGATGCAAATCGGCGACTTCTGCTCGACTTTGTTGCCAACATTCTAAGATTTATTAAATAATATTCAGTAACTATCTAAGAATATAAAAAATAACCAAATTTAAATGATTTAAAACTTACGCTGAAGTACAGATTCGGAATACTGTTGTTGCTGTCTTAAAACATTTTGTAAATGTCGGCATCTCTGCTCCAATTGCTGGACGCGACTCATTGAACTGGATGATCTCTGAAATTGTAATAATCAAAAATAACTATAACATATTCCTGCATACTTGTATAAATAATTAATTAAAAACTAACCTGTTGTAATGCAAACAAATTTTGTTCAGCATTGATTTTTGATGATAACAACATATGTATATCTCCCATCAGTACTTCCTTCTGTAATTGCAATGTTTTTAACTCTTCATTGAATTGTGTGTGCTGCAACTTCAATCGCTTAACATCTTGGCCGGTTATATCAGCACATAGCAATGTTGAATTTGGACTGTTTGTTGTTGCATTGTCAGTTACATCCTGAGATAATTCAAGATTTTCACTGAAAGTAATTAGAGAACATAATTACTCATAATATAAAGTAGTAAATTAAGCTATTAGAATGGTAGTAAATAATATACTAATATCTTTGATAATTACCATGTCATAATGAATGTTTTATGATCATTTTTCTCTTGTTGTTCAGGACTTTCAGTTTTCCAGATATTCTGTTCATTAGATGTATATTGTTGATTCTGCCAAGCAAAATTAGGATTTTGATAATCTCTTGTAATTTTCAAGCCATTTACATTGTCATTTCCTCTATGGCATAAATAGCTAATTGAGCTAGATGCACTATCACTTACACCATTTGTGGTATCAGATTTTTCATCTACAGTTTTTATGTTTTCAACTTCCTTATCTTTAGAAACTTTTTCTAAATTTGTCAAAATATTTAGTTTTTCTTTTAATGTATTAATTTCTTCATTCCGAGTTTCGAGTTCTAACTCCATGTTACTTCGATATTCTTCATACTCATTTTCCAAATCTGCAAACTGCTGCTCTAACTGACACCGTTCTTCTATAGGTGAGAGTCTGCCAGTTGTCCCAAATTGTTCTTCATATTCAGACATCTTCTTCAAGAGTTCAGCAAATTTTTCATCATTTAATCTCTGTTCTTGGTCATATATTTGACGCTCTTCATCCAATTTAGAAGCCCAATAATCTTCACAGCGCTCATACTCAGTTCTCAACAATTCTAAACTCGCTTCCAATTCATTACATTGTTCTTGCAATTGCTTCTTCTCTTTGATACATGTTTCGTGTTCAGTTTTTAAATCGGCAAGCTCATTATTCTCTTCAATCTACAATATTTTTCGAATCAAATCATATCAAAATATCATAATAAACAAAATTATTTTATTGCTGTAAAAAGTACTATTATCAAAAATTGCTAAAGTTATAAGTATTGTTCCTAATAATACTGTAAAAGTTGCAATATGATCACAATTAGTATAATTTTTTTATATTTACCTTGTTTAACTGATTTACCAGATCTTTTACTCTTGCTTTCAACTGAGACACTTCTTCAAGTTCAGCCCCAACACACTCACTCAATTTTACTTTTTGTTGCAACATGCTTTTCTCAATCTCAGTAAGGGATGAATGATCTAGTTCATGATCAAGTTGCATCCACATTTTACTTTCTTGCTCATTTTCCTTAGAACACTTCCTTAATTTTCCCAATCTGGGACTACTTTCATCTGCGATATTTGTTTTACTTGGAGAGTCCCCTCTGCGTTTCATTGCTATAGCCATGCTGTGGTCTGAATTTTCTAAATCATTTAAACTTGTATCTTGCTTCATACAGTTCTCATTATAGACACTCTTTTTAATCTTTAGAGCTGATAACTCAGAACTTAAATTTTCAACTTCTACACATAGTTCATCATTTCTATCTCTCAGATTAGTATTCTCCACTTGCAATGATGAAACCTGTTCCAATAGAGTTGATATTTCTTGTAATTTTTCTTCACACGTCTTATCAATATTTGTTTCTTTTTCTCCTTGAAGACACTTTAATTCTTTTAAGATGCATACTCTAGATTCCTCCAATTCTACAATACGCTCTTGCAGATTTCTTTGTTCTGATTCCATATTGGAATTTTCAGTTCTGGCTTTTTCTAAATCTGATCGTAACTTGTTCTCCTCCATTTCTAACTTTTCAATTTTTGCTTCCAATTTCATGGTTGTGCTTGCCCAAGTCTCTCGTTCTGTGGATAATTGATTCATTAAATCCCTCAGAGTTTCAGAATGTTTTTGTTCCAATTGTTGCATTTGATTTCGAGCACTGCTTTCTAAATTAGCATGATGCTCATCCACTTCTTGAGCCAACAATGCTGCTCTATGATTAGCATCTCGATTATCAACTTTTAATTTTTTACTCTCATCAATAATTTGTTTGAATGCTTGTCGCAATGCTTCAAGTTCTGCACGTTTTAATGCTAAAGATGCCTGTGATATAAGAAATAAATTTTGTGAAAATTTTATAATAAAACAGAGAATTGTACAAATATGAAATAAATTGTATAACTGTTGCAATAAAACCAGAAAGTATTTCACAAAACAATTAAAATTATGTCAACTATGATGATTATAGTAAAACTTTATTAAAAAACAAAATTTTATCAGCAAGCAATAAAGAAAATTAAAGTTGAAATTAATTTATACCTGTAACAATGATAGCAATGGGTTATGCGGATGCATTCCTAAATTGAGATTCTGTACTTCACGAATTTCATATTCCAAGACATTGCCCAATTCTGCTACTTGAACTTCAGAACAATCAAATCCTAAATCTTGTAATAGTACATCTGGATTCGATACACCAGCATTCTTCCAAATATCAACTATTTCTCTATTAGTTATTACGCCAGCACTATTTGGCCACATAATCGTGGGAGCTCCAAAATTCATATCATCCATTGGACATCCACTGTCAAGTTCTAGACCATCATCAATTTTAGATAATGACATGTTTTCACAAGGATAATCACTATTATGTTTGAAGAGAAGTAAGAATTCTTCAAAACTTATTCGACCATCATTGTCGGTATCCAAATTTTCAAACTGCTGAGTTACAATATCTATCGCAGACTTATGTAAACCAATGCACTCCCAAACTTTCTCAAATTCGATTTGAGTCAAATATCCATCTAATCCCACACCCAACCTTTGCCAAGTATCTCGCAAACAAATAATTTCTTCTTCTGAAATAGGTTGTTCAATATTAGATAAATCTTTATTTGCACTTTTATAAGTAGGCAGAGAAGCACAGCGTTTTAATTTTACAGAGTGATTATTAGATCCACACACTTCACTTTGTGACATAGAACGTTTTACTTTCTGATCAAATTTTATATCGTAATCAATTTTATTTTGCTGATATCTCTCATCTGATTTCAAGTTTTCATTGTCAAAATTTTGTGGCTTTGATCTTCGACCATATTTCTTTGAACCTAAGATTAATTTAGGAGAAACCTCTCTATCCGACTCCTTGCCACTATCTTCTAAAAGATGTTGATCTTCACGTTTTGTATCCGCAGACAAAATTGCCAATAAACCTTCTTTGAATTCTTGAAATGAAATGCGATGTTTTTTAGTATCATCAAGCAAATATTTGACTAATCTATTACCTCTATCTTCTAATTGTAAATTATTACATAAACTAGTAAGGGCTTCGCGATCAAGAGTTCCAGATTTGCTTAAATCGTGACTCGTAAATACATTCAAAAGTTGTTGCTCATATGGGTCTATTGATAATTCCATTATTTATTAGGTTTGCTCAATGATAAATAATTCATTTCATTTATCAAACTTCTAATACAAAAACAATAATTGTAAATACCTCAAAACTTATAATTTATTGAATATACACTAGAATGTCGATGTCACTTCATGCAATATTGTAATCACAACAAAAAAAAGTATGTAAACACTATAATAAACACTTACACTTGTTCAAGTCAAAATAACCAAAACACAACCTGTAACATCGTTTGCGCAAGCAAGATGGGTACAAGCAAATAAACCTTTACCTCTAAATTTTACTAAAATTATTAATCACGCTGAAGGAAAGTATTGGAGAAAATTGGGCCATTATCTGTCCTTCCAATACCAATCTGTCATAGTTCAGGTGTCTATTTGACAGATTGTAATGTGTGAAGTACTACTCAAAACATCACGCCCACCAACATAACTTTTGCTATAAAATTTATTTTATGTTTTAAACCGTTCACTTTGAATCAATAAATGGCAAATGAATTTTACAAAATGTAAAGAATAACTGGAAAATTATATCTTTGTATGTTGCAGAAACACAATAACTTTATACATGTATAAAATATTAGCAGTGCTTTTTAATATAAATATGCCTAAGATGGTTGACCATTCAATGAATATTATTAATAACAACTTATGCATAGCTTCGCTTACACAATAATTTGCAACCATAAATACTGAAATCAAACTAATATTAATTTTTATTTTATTTTTATATTTATCTATTTAAAAATACAACAATAAATGTAATGGCTATATTTATTATTTGATTTCGTAAGTTGTCAGCATATTTTCAAGCTCTTTTTGGGTAATTTCTCCAACTTTTTCAGAATGTAGAAGCAAACTCTTTATAGCTGAAAATTATAATGTATGTAAATTACATGTGGAAATCTAACTTAATATCAAAACACAAATTAACAAAGATTTTGACAAAAGAAGGAGATTTTTACACATACGAGGTGTGTTCAAAAAGTACCCGGAATTACTAATAATTAAATTTCGCGGGTCTGGAGTGTCTGATTGTCAAATTTTTTTTTTTATTGTGTTGGTATACATGCCCCTAAAGTATGATGAAATTTTCAGCTATATTCACTGTTTACTTTGTCTGTGGTAGTCGCTAAGGTTCGACGTGTTTTTCTGAGCTCGGCGATTTTTACAATGGAAGAATTGAAAAGTCAAAGAATTTGTATTAAATTTTGCGTAAAAAATGAAATAAAGTGTTGCAAAGTGCAAAAATTCACCAGATATGGCTCCGTGTGACTTTTTCCTATTCCCAAAGTTGAAGAGACCCATGAAAGGACGGCGGTTTTCCTCGATTGAAGAAAATCGCTGAGAGTGCTCAAGGACATATCAAAAAGTGAATATCAAGGGTGCTTCGAAAATTGGAAAAAACGCTGGCATAAGTGTATTATATCTGGGGGGGGACTACTTTGAAGGGGACCACATTAATGTAGACGAATAAATAAATATTTTTTTGAAAAAACGAAAATTCCGGGTACTTTTTGAACAGACCTCATACATAAGCATATATAAAAATTAATATTTAATTATTTACCATCTTTATCTTCACTACTCATAAACATTTTCAAAGCGTTAAATCTTTCAACATTTTTTAATCCTTCAAGATAACCCAAAACAGACTCATTGTTAGAAATAAAATGTACTTTTAGGATTTGTAATATTTCACTTAAGATATTACTCTCTAGTGAACTGCCAAATAATTTCTTGAAATTTTTACCATCAATTATCTGAAAAAATCATTAATATTTTTTACAGAAAAAATAAACATCAGAAAACAAAATTTATTACTATTGTGATATACCTTAAGAAATTCATATTTCTTTTCCGGATTGCCTTTAAGTTGCTTCCAAACGTTATAAAAATGTATAGATGATTTTGGCTCTTCCAGTCTTATATTTAATATAGCATCACTCTTTACATCATCTTTTGGAACTTTTGAAACAAGTTGTACAATTTCTTTAGGTTTTTCTTCCTGTATTGATTCTTTAAATTGTTCTTTATATTTGCTAATAGGATTACTATTTAATGTTTCAGTAAGAACTGAACTGTTTGCACTTATGTTTGTATCAGGTATTTTGGAAACATTATTTAAAGTATTAATAGACCTTTTAGTAGATTTGGTTATTTCTGTTTCCTCATCTATATGAATTCTCCTTAGAGGCTTCTAAAATAAACATCTTGAACAAATATCAAACTAGAAATCAATAAAGTCAGTAATATGATAAAACATTTCTCAAGAATTAAATTATTTTCAACTTAAAATATTTTGTTTAATTGTTTCTGGACTATAAATCATATCACTCATATACCTTAGATCTTTCATGAGGTGCTTTAAAAATGGGCTTCACTAAAGCTCTTCCTTTATCTGATTCAGTAAACCAATTGTGAACCTTCACTATTGCAACTATATAAATGAAATTAATGATTACATTTTTAATTAAGTATTTTTATAATAATATGATATATAAAATTTTACCTTTTTTGTTATCTTTTTTTGTTTCATTATTTACATGCTGTTTATCAATCTCAGTGGTCTTTACATTGTCCGACTTCAATGTCTTAGATATGTTGCGTATCTGAGGAAAAAACAATATGTTCTATATTAATTTCAAATAACTAAGATGTTTTACATTAAAACTACATTCATATTACTTCAGAAATGCAATACTATCAATTTAGTTTTAATTAATAACCAGATAATTAGTTTCAACCTTATTATTCAATTCTAATAAATGTTCTTTTGCTTCTTGATTATTAGGCTCTAAATTTAAAACTTCAGACATATCCTTTATTGCCATATTAAGTTTTCCTACAGCAGCTCGAGCAACAGATCTTCTTTGTAAGGCTTTAACATATTTTGGATCAATTTCCAATGCTCTACAACAATCTTTTTCAGCTTTTGCCCATCTAAAAGTAATTAAATTCTTTTATTAATGAAAATTCTATACATAATAATAATAAGACAATACACAACATTATTTTACGATCTGTCTTTACTATGGGTACAAGCAAAACAGACTCAGATATTGGGTGTTTCTTATAAAAATTTCTTATTTAGTTAAATTTTAATTTGATAAAACCCTTTTTTGAGAGATTGGAAACATTACAATTTATTGAAAAAAAAATTTCACTTATTACTAAAAATGTATAACCAAACACGAACATAAATGTTTCAAAACAATCAAGGTTCTTCAAATCTTGGATTTAGGTAGTTCATTAAGGTATCATCACAGGATTTTTAACCCCAGTAAAATTTCACTGGAGAATACTTACTTTTCTAATTTTAAATAACACAAAGCTCGATTTGCATAGTAAATTGCATCACCTTGATATAACTGTATTGCTTTTGTGTAACATTCCAAAGCTTTAGTCCAATTACTCATTTTAACAAAAGTGTTACCTTCATTTTTCAATTCCTTGCTTTTATTGATTGCTTCTTCATCATCAGATGATTCTGACTGAAAAATATAATTGTTTATAGTAATTAAATTTTAAACATAAAAGAACAAATTTTAAATGTAAAACTTGAAAATATTTACTTCTGTTGAATAATCAACTTCTTCACAAGCTTTTTCTACATCAAATTTATCCCACTTGTTATAGTCTGTAGATGCACTTTTCTTAGTTGTTTCTGCTACAGGCGTTTTAATCCTTTTGGACCGTGGTGGTGGTAAATCCTCTTCCTGATAAGATAAGAAAGGCTAACTCTCTTTATCAATTATTGATTATATATTTATACCAATTAAAAACATGAAGACTGATACAACTAAATATTCTAATAATAAATTTTATAGAATAAAAATAATAAGAAGTAATATACTGCAATGCATAAATGTTCAGGAAGAAAATTGCACTCGAAATCGTGTATGAGAATTCTAATATACAAGTACACATGATTGACTATTCAATAACTAATATACATCGAGCAATTAATTGATCTTACTATATGAGCAATAATTAACCAGGAGGTAAAGAGTATGTACTAATGGTAAATTGTCATTTTGAAAAATTATCATTCATGTAAGATATGGCATATTACCTGTTTACTTGCGGGTTTTTGCAGAAACTTATCCTTCTCTTTCATTTCTTTCTCCCATGCATAAAGTTCTCTAGCATAATCTTCCAAAACAGTGGAATTATTGCGCATATCTAATTGCATCTGCATACTTGGAGTTATTTTTGACATTTTAATATAATTGTAATTGATTCAGTTACTCAGTACGTAGTTTTCGTATATACACAAATATATATAAATTTTGCACAATAACTTTGCTTGATGACAATTGATATTTTAAAAACTTAGTAGTCTGAAAACATGAATAAATTTTTAGGTTATGTTTAAAAGAAATTCCGTGTAAGCGACATTTCTAACTGGCGGTAAATTCAAAATTCAAACATTGCGAATTTGACCACTTAAGAGCCGGACAATTTTGAGAAAAATGGTAAAAAGTGTCACTTTTTTATGTAACTCAACTACATTTACTTACTTTATGAAATAGTTAAAATAAGTTAACTTAATGAAGAATATAATTGCGTTTTTAATTCCAGCGCTCGTGAAATGTATGAGGATTATCCGAATAGAACTCTCGAAACATGTACATGGTTTGTCTTATTCGATTTTGTAATTATATATATACATATACGCACATTCATTAATGAACATTTATTAAAATTATACATTCTTCGCAATATACACATTTGATTCAGAACGTTTTTATTTAGAATGCTTATATTATTTATACTTTATATTCTGATTTGAATTGTTTATAAATATGAAATTGGGATTCATATAAGTATATTTTGTCAATAAATATATTAAATTTCAAATGTGAATCAAATATTTACTTAAGTAAATATTTGGTAGTTAACAATTGTTACCTACCAAATGTTATTGCTTTCAAGAAAGCATATTTGTAAAGATTACGTTTTTATTTCGAATCAAATTATAAAATAATCACCTTTTTATTTTAGGATATATCTACAACCTTGTTGTTGGTTTATATGCTTCTTAGTAACAGTGCTTATTCTTGTTGCTACGGTAGCGGCGATGTATCAATTCTACTTCATTGAAGACATGTAAAGCAGAAAATTATAAATTTTAATTGTTTTCTTGAGCTGATTTTGAATCATGATCACTATAGAAAACCATATTATCTTTTCATTAGCCTTGAACTTGCTCTCTACATATTTTTTTAATCATACTACCACTTTTTGCCGCATTGCTGCAAGACAATGAGTAGTTATAGTTGCTAAAAATAAATATTAATATTTCTAATAACTAAATATATCAAGTAGAGATAAGCCAACTGTTGAGTTTTCTTTAAAAAAATGCAAGTAGTTTACTATCATCACAAGCACAACCATCTCAACCAACTAAATAGAACCAACTAAATTCTGATTGCTCTTCAAAATAAAGATAATAATAAATTATCTGAGTATTGAATATTATTGTATCATTTCAGACAATGAAATTAACTTAAAAGTATTATTTAAATATGATAAACCAACAACATTATTTTAATTAATTAACGAAAAATTAACTTATTTTTTTCAAAATACTTTTTATACAATTTAATAGGCAATTATATGAAATGCTTGAAACGCACTAACAATGTATATTAAAAAACTTCCTGAAAAAGAAATTTGAATAGCAAGAAAAAACATCAAGTATTAGGAAAACATGTATTTCAATCAATATTAGTAAATGACAATGCATATTATAAATAACACTAGTAAAGCTATTATGATATACATTAAACTAAATAATCATCTCAAATTTTCAGTACAAAATAGCATAATAATGTGCATAGCAATAGCACAAAAATAACTTTGTGAGTTATATAAAAATCTTAACATACACCAGGTATGTGTAATCATATAAAACAATCCAAATTTCAAATTATATGTAAGGATCAGATCATTTGTATCAATATAATATAAATCTAAATACATTTCTGTAACTTTACTTAATTATATACATATTTTAAAATTGCATCTAATACGTAATATCATGTACATGATAAATTATAGATCAAATTAAACTGTTTCACTAAATTAAATTTGTTCAATTTCCAGTGAATTATATTTGTTGATACTACGATTAATCATGTAATATACTTAAATTATATAACTTTATATATTTTAACTTTATTTTAATATTATATATATTTTGCGCGCACAATGACAACTCAAATAAAAACTTACTAAATATATTTGTATAATAAAATTTCGATATATAAAATGAAAATAAAATTATAATAAAAAAATACAATCGTTTAAGGCTATCATAAAAAATAAATAGTTTAAGTAAAGTAAAAGTAAAAAATAATTCAAATAATATTAAAAATAATTCAAATAATAAAAGTGTTCCCCCCCGTTATACTACTTTATGTATACCATTTTTTAGATTATATAAGGATCAAGTTACACCAATTTTATGAAAAAAAAAATTATTGTGTATATGTAAACTAATGAAATGTGTCAATAAATTGGAACACAAAGTGGGAAATTCCTATTCCTATGTAACAATAACATTTTAAGATTTTATTATTAATTCTTCATAAATAAGAATTTTAAAATATATACTATTTTATATTTCATTTATTGATCAAATTAAAAGGCCGTGCACTTTCGACTGCGGTGACTTATTTTGATCGACCTAACAAACATCCATTTGCGTGTCTGAATACGATAATTATTTAAAAATTATGCATTTATGTAAGAAATTTTATTATGAAAGTTCAATATAAAATTCTTATGTGGAATAATTTTTGTTGATCCATATATGAATGCGTTATTATGTGGGAAAAGATCTAATTATAATAGTTTTATGACTTTGATTAGCAGCGAATAAAATAATAAATGGCAAGCAAAAAATAACGAAGCATTTGTATTTTTCAATGAATAATAAATAATATTAAAATTATTTATTTTTTATTTAAAAAAAAAACTTAAATCACAATAAAATTGTATTAAATAAACTATGACAAATTGTATGGCTAAACGCGTTTTATAACATTAACGCAACGATATAAATGTTGATAAATTACACTAAAATCGTTTTGTCTTTTTTTGAATAAAATAAATAGTTCAACTATAAGAATTACATACATAAAATGTAAATAGTTAATTCATTATTTACTTTATAATATAAGCATGTGCGCGTGCGAGATCATACTCTATTTATAATAAATCGAAAAATTAGATAAATTTATGCCTAATACAAAATTATAGTCTTGATTCGCTCTCAAACATTGAAGTAATCACTTTATTTTTCGGTATTCGATATTCGGTATTACTTCGACACCATAAACATAATGAGCCTATGAAACAACCAATATTAGTAAATGATAATTATATATATAATATATTACATATATAATATATATAGTCGTATCTAGAAGAAAAAACGTATTTTTCTCACCTGAAATTTATAGCTTTTCCTGCGAGCAGCCGATTGCACTCATTAGTATCCTCTAAAGGCAATGGCATGTATTCACTTTCATTATCTTCCTCAGTAAAATCGTGATGATGTATCCTTGGAAAAGCTTTCATATCGCCGAAAGGACCTCGTAAAACAAAGTAATGCACACTGATCGGATATGTTATTTTTGTTTTCAGAACCAGCTGTTAAAATCAAGTCAGTGATTAAATATTGAGATAAGAATTGTAAATACTATACAAGTTATCGGGAACACAATAAAATATGTCACAAAAATTGTCGACCTGAATGACAAACTATATATTGGTATAATCAGTAGTGTTGTGCTAATATTTTTTAACCGGAACGCTTAAATTTTTTAACCGGAACGGTTTGTTTCCGTTCTGCTCGAGTTCCATTTCAGTAGAATAAAAGTTCCGGACTCCGGTTCATGGTTCGGAAAAACGAGTATAATAGTACGTGAATGAGTAATAGTATTTGTGTACATAATAGTACGAGAGTATATAACAGTGATTGTAAATATAATAGTACGAGAATGAGTAATAGTATTTGTGTACATAATAGTACGAGAGTATATAATAGTGTTTGTAAATATAATAGTACGTGAATGAGTAATAGTATTTGTGTACATAATAGTACGAGAGTATATAACAGTGTTTGTGAATATAATGTAGTACGTGAATGAGTAATAGTATTTGCGTACATAATAGTACGAGAGTATATAACAGTGTTTGTAAATATAATATAGTACGTGAATGAGTAATAGTATTTGCGTACATAATAGTACGAGAGTATATAACAGTGTTTGTAAATATAATGTAGTACTTGAATGAGTAATAGTATTTGCGTAAATAATCGTACGAGAGTATATAATAGTGTTTGTAACTATAATATAGTAAGTGAATGAGTAATAGTGTTTGCGTACATAATAGTACGAGAGTATATAACAGTGTTTGTAAATATAATATAGTACGTGAATGAGTAATAGTATTTGCGTAAATAATCGTACGAGAGTATATAATAGTGTTTGTAACTATAATATAGTAAGTGAATGAGTAATAGTGTTTGCGTACATAATAGTACGAGAGTATATAACAGTGTTTGTAAATATAATATAGAACGTGAATGAGTAATAGTATTTGCGTACATAATAGTACGAGAGTATATAACAGTGTTTGTAAATATAATGTAGTGCGTGAATGAGTAATAGTATTTGCGTACCTAATCGTACGAGAGTATATAATAGTATTTGTAACTATAATATAGTAAGTGAATGAGTAATAGTATTTGCGTACATAATAGTACGAGAGTATATAACAGTGTTTGTAAATATAATATAGTACGTGAATGAGTAATAGTATTTGCGTACATAATAGTACGAGAGTATATAACAGTGTTTGTAAATATAATGTAGTACTTGAATGAGTAATAGTATTTGCGTAAATAATCGTACGAGAGTATATAATAGTGTTTGTAACTATAATATAGTAAGTGAATGAGTAATAGTGTTTGCGTACATAATAGTACGAGAGTATATAACAGTGTTTGTAAATATAATATAGAACGTGAATGAGTAATAGTATTTGCGTACATAATAGTACGAGAGTATATAACAGTGTTTGTAAATATAATGTAGTGCGTGAATGAGTAATAGTATTTGCGTACCTAATCGTACGAGAGTATATAATAGTATTTGTAAAAATAATATAGTAAGTGAATGAGTAATAGTATTTGCGTACATAATAGTACGAGAGTATATAACAGTGTTTGTAAATATAATATAGTACGTGAATAGTACGAGAGTATATAACAGTGTTTGTAAATATAATGTAGTACGCGAATGAGTAATAGTATTTGCGTACATAATCGTACGAGAGTATATAACAGTGTTTGTAAATATAATATAGTACCTGAATGAGTAATAGTATTTGCGTACCTAATCGTACGAGAGTATATAACAGTGTTTGTAAATATAATATAGTACGTGAATGAGTAATAGTATTTTCATACATAATAGTACGAGAGTATATAACAGTGTTTGTAAATATAATGTAGTACGCGAATGAGTAATAGTATTTGCGTACATAATCGTACGAGAATATATAACAGTGTTTGTGAATATAATATAGTACCTGAATGAGTAATAGTATTTGCGTACATAATAGTACGAGAGTATATAACAGTGTTTGTAAATATAATGTAATACGTAAATGAGTAATAGTACTTGCGTACATAATCGTACGAGAGTATATAACAGTGTTTGTAAATATAATATAGTATGAGAATGAGTAATAGTATTTGCGTACATAATCGTACAAGAGTATATAACAGTGTTTGTAAAAATAATGTAGTACGTGAATGAGTAATAGTATTTGCGTACGTAATAGTACGAGAGTTTATAACAGTGTTTGTAAATATAATGTAGTACGTGAATGAGTAATAGTATTTGCGTACATAATAGTACGAGAGTATATAACAGTGTTTGTAAATATTATAGTACGTGAATGAGTGATAGTATTTGTGTACATAATAGTACGAGAGTATATAACAGTGTTTGTAAATATAATAGTACGTGAATGAGTAATAGTATTTGCGTACATAATCGTACGAGAGTATATAACAGTGTTTGTAAAAATAATGTAGTACGTGAATGAGTAATAGTATTATAATCGTACGAGAGTATATAACAGTGTTTGTAAATATAATATAGTACGTGAATGAGTAATAGTATTTGCGTACATAATAGTACGAGAGTATATAACAGTGTTTGTAAATATAATATAGTACGTGAATGAGTAATAGTATTTGCGTACATAGTAGTACGAGAGTATATAACAGTGTTTGTAAAAATAATGTAGTACGTGAATGAGTAATAGTATTTGCGTACATAATCGTACGAGAGTATATAACAGTGTTTGTTAATATAATAGTAAAGTACGTGAATGAGTAATAGTATTATAATCGTACGAGAGTATATAACAGTGTTTGTAATAATAATTGTAATGAGTAATAGTATTTGCGTACATAATAGTACGAGATTATATAACAGTGTTTGTAAATATAATGTAGTACGTAAATGAGTAATAGTATTTGCGTACATAATAGTACGGGAGTATATAACAGTGTTTATGAATATAATGTAGTACGTGAAGGAGTAATAGTATTTGCGTACATAATAGTACGAGAGTATATAACAGTGTTTGTAAATATAATGTAGTACGTGAATGAGTAATAGTATTTGTGTACATAATAGTACGAGTTCCTTGTTTATATTAATACATATAAAAATTTATCAAAAAATAGAAAAAAAAGTTTTGATCAATCATAGTTCCGGAACGCGTTTCGGTCCAAAAAAAGAAGTGTCAGAATGATGTTCCGGCGCGTTTCGGCTCAACAACACCACTGTGCGTAATGACAAAACACTTATTACGTTGTCGTTCAACTTCCTGAGACACCAGTTTCAAGAATAATTTAGAAAAAGTTTCTAAATAAGAATATTCATACTTATTAATATATATAATATAATAAATAATTATCATTATTTATCATAATCTTTCGAGAAGTAAGCAGAATTGGTGAATCACTCATTGGAGTGACAACTACATATTCCTAAATTAAAATTTTGCACAATTTTTTTTTATAAGTGAGAGTGTATGTGTGCGAGCGAATGAATTAAAAGTAAGAGCTAATAGAATATTGTATTCTGATTGCTGATAAAAATAAAAATGTTAATAAAAAAATATATTTTATGGGTACCTGGTATGTAATATCACGTTCCGAGCTCTGTGTGGGATCTCTCTGGCAATTATTGATGTGCGCTTTGACGACCCACTGATTGTTGAAGGCCGAAAATCGGGAAGTTTCGTAAAAGAGTTTATGAACAAATTCATCTGTGCGATATGGCTTCATTTGCAAGTCTGTGATACAAAAAAATCATATAAATTTAAACAATATCCAAACAAAATAACTGAACTGATTGTTCTTACCACTAAAGATTATCTTTTCGTAAGATAGAAGATCAAATATCTGATCGTACAACTTTTTTTCTTCCTGTGTTTTTTGATCCATAACCTAAGTTCGTAAAAGTAATTAAGATATTAAGAATTTCTATTATTGATAAATAATGATATCAAATTCTATAAACCAAACCTCAAGTGCTTGCATGACCTCAGCGCCTGATTTGTGTGGGTGAACGCAAATCATTTCATGTGATCCCATTTCATGGACTGGTCCTCTCCATGGGCACCCGATACTGATCATTTATGGAAAAAATCACATGATATAAATGCATTTAAATTAATGGTTTCTAAATTCGGAGCGGTGACGCAACGGCGTCGTATATTTCGATGTTAGAATTTGGTCCTAACTAAATGAATGTAGAAATATAGTACGAAAAATAATCAATACATTAGAAGGATGCAAATTTTTAACTTCCCGTAGGGCAAGTTATAGTAATCGCAAAAAATCGAAAATGAAAATTTTTGCATTTCTCGACGATCCAAAGGTTTCTGAATATTTTGGCATACCTTAGAAAAAATGGATGTATATATGTGTGTGTGTGTGTGTGTGTGTGTGTGTACGTGCGGATACAAATTTTCGTCGACGATTTCGGGAACACCGATCAACCGATTTGAATAATTCAAAAAACATTCGATTCGTATTTATAAGGAGACGTGCTGATTAGTTTTTCGCGAAGGCAGGTCTAGCCATTCCGAAGATACGAGGCAAAAAGTGCCAAAAACGGTAACTCAGTTTTTAAGAGAACGGAGCGTCCGATTTTAATAATTCAAAAAACATTACTTGTATTGACAAGGTGAAGAACCGATCAAATTTTCATGAAGGCAGGTCTAGCGGTTTTGGAGATCTAATGAAAAAAGTAAAAAAAAATGCCATTTGGCGGTCAAAAATAATCACTAGACATATGCACATCTAATTATCAGATAATTTTTAGAGATTTTAACAATAAGTATAAATCTGGTTTACATTCCTATGGGTTCCGTACCAATGTTTACGCGTTAGACGTCGACACGGCGCTTACGCGGTTTGATATTTCGTCTTTATGCAGTTAAAGCAGTACGATTGCTTTGAAAAAAAGTTTAGATCTTTCAAAATATGTCAAAATAAAGAAAACATTTTTTTTTTCAAAAAAAAATAATTAAAAACAATTTTGTCTAATTGTTTGTCAAAAATCTTGTTTTTTCGAAGTAATTTTTTTTCAAAAATGTTAATTGTTTTTAAAAAAATAATAATTTTTGGTACGGGAAGTTCCTGCAATTTGCCTTAAGGCACGATGCCTTAATTGCCTTAAGACAGAATTCCACTTACAGCTAGTTTAAAGTTATCCCAGTTAGCAACAGATCAGACGATTTATAAGAATAAATCTCACCGGCTGTACTTGCACCCTGTTAAGCGTTCTTCGCATTCGGCTTCCTCATGTCTCTCAAGAGTATTCCTGGGAAACGCCCGCGCGCAGAATTGGCAGTCGCTGGGCAATTCTGATACTGCTTTCTCGACTGCCAAATTACGTGAGGCCGAGTTCTTGCTGAATTCGACACGACAATTTGGACATGTTGCGATCTCGTCACGAAGGCGTGCATCTGCAAGCACGTGTGTGAAACAACCAGCACACATCAGATGGCCATTCGTGCACTGAAACACGAGCATATACAGACAACGATAAAGAGACAAAACATGTCGAATGTGATTATTTACAAGAATCGTTTTTTTCGTTCAAAATTTTGGTAAATATTCGAAAATCGCTCTTTAAATTCAGTGACAAATACTCGGCACATTTCAATACCCCAGACATATTTTAACCAAAACATCTACGTCGTTAGGACATAGTTGTTGTTGAATAAATATGTATAAATGCAATGAAATGGCAAGAATAGATTCATATTTATTTGTGAAATTATTGAAAATACATCTTTAACTTTAAAAATTAACATTATTAATTCTTCGTAAACATCAATAAATATAAGAAAAACAATCAGCTAGTTTAATGATCTCAACTTTCCTATGATCTGCAAATAAATAATAATTAAACCGATTTATTTAATTTATGTTATATACTATCTCTGTCAAATAAAACAAACTACTACTACTACAATATAAAATAATAAACATCTATGGAAAAATATCATTTAAAAACTGCATTTCAATTAAATTTACCACTAATGCCACCGCACCTAATAGAACACCTGGAAGCAAAAAACAATGTCAATCGTTAAATATTGATTTAAAATTTACATTGAAATGCACATTATTTTACTTCAGCATAAATCATTATATAAAACAATTCTTATAAGTATAACTAACATTCTATTATAAATAAAGAATGTTAAAAATATTATCGAATTTTCAATCGAAACATTTTTAACAATGATAAATTTTGCACTCTAAATTAATTCACTATTGAGTAAGCATTCGCAAAATTTACAAAAAAAAATAGAACGTAGTTAGTTCTTAAAAGAAGAAATAAATATGTGAAATATATTTCCGAAAACCCGAATCTTCCTGAAATGATAAATTAATAATATATAATAGGATACATTTAAATAAAATGAAATAATATGCAGGAACAGGAAATTTTGGTGTGGTAATCAATATAATATAATTCTTTTTATTAACAAGCGTACACTTATTATACTTACTGGAAACCTCACACGATGTTACGATTCTCTGAAGATATAATCACACGGATAAAAATAATTCATACATTGCGCATAAGTAATACTTATACATTATATATTATAAATAAAAACGAAATATTCACAAAACTATAAAGAACTGAAAGAGTCAAGAGCGTTGAAACAGTCAAACAGCAACATATATTTTCAATAAAATATGTTTATTTATATTAGTTAATTACAATAATCTTAATATAATTGGACCCCTATGCGATACACGTCATAATGTATAAATAATAAACATACAATCATTGCAGATTAATTAAATTACTATTATATAGTGAATACATCTCTCATTCGAAGAAAATTTTCAAATCATCGATACAATATACACTTCATTGATTAATTCATATTGTTATTGAAAATCATAATAAGTAAATATCAAAATGACATAAAACTAGAACTATTAGTACAATCTTGACTCAAAATAATAAATAGTCTAATTTTACACTTCTTTCATAATAAATAGTCTAATTCTTTACTTAAAATACAAAATTACATTTCATTCCGTAACAATTAATAGTAATAAAAATGATAAATGCCTAGAAATTTGATTTTACTTTATATAGTACATTTTATAGATTTATTGTTACATAATGGCCTCCATTTTGATGTTATCGTACTAACTACGCAGTTTCTTTGACAATGAATTATTGAACATGACATCCGTCAAAAATGTTTTAGATATAATTACATATAAACAATAGTAATATATTTCAGTCATTATATTTGTATATTCATATTCAAATGTTGATAATATCGAGGGTTTAAATATCTACGTGAATACTACATGGGTATACGTCAAAATCAGCTGATAAGTACTTACTTGATAAACAGCAGCTTTTGGGAGATCCAAACACACCGCGCAACATAAAATCCCACCCAATCTACTCTCTAATTTATCGTTCTTTTCGTCATTCTTTGTTGTTATTTTACGCTTTTTTCTCTCAGGTTCGCAGGAATCTGAGAGCTTTTCAACATTTTCCGAAATTATTTCGGGCTCGCCACTCGTAGAGGCGGCTTCAATTTCGCGTTCGGACATTATAATTTAATAAGATGTAAGCTCTAACTAAAAGGTCGTGTCAGAAATATAAACAATAGAACAAACTTCTATATTAACAAATTTGTACAACAAATGAAAAGCTGTTATGCGACCCGTCACACGTAATACTCATAAATTACTTCTCTATACACAGACGCGACTTACGTCAACATAAGCAATATCGACATCAGCGCCATTTATCCTCAATTACAATTGATTACAACAGTAGTGCCAATGTAAGTTGGGTGACAGCTGTTATATTAAATAAAATATGTATTAAAAGTGTAAAACTGTAAAGAAAGTGTATTAAATAAAATATTATGAAATGTTTATCACATAACACAATAGATAATTGAAGGTAAAATAAACATTAGTCATTTTTTAATGGTATTCTCTAAAGATTATAAAAGTTAATTCGAAACGAATATAAATTCTTAAAACCATTCATGAGACAATCACTTTTTTGAAATAACTATTATATAGAGAAACATTATTTTATAAAACTAAATATTTATTAATATATATATATATATATATATATATATATATATATTCAAATATTTTATATTTAAATATTTTTCAATTTAAAATTATTTCTCAATGTTGGCCATCTTGTGATGAGACCGATCTAGCCGCAGTCGGATTTATGTGCGCTTCTTACTAGGCCTTATGGATAATGCAATGTCAGTTTGAAACTTCAATTAGTGAATAATGGTTTTCTAAAGCACGTAAAATGTGTATTCTATCCTGAGGTTAATTACTATAGTAAACATGGCTATTGGACATACTCGGGTTGTCCAAGTGACAAATATCGCACCTCAGGCGACCAAAGACCAGATGCAAACACTTTTTGGTTATCTAGGCAAAATTGATGATATTAGATTATATCCTACAATACGTGATGTATCATGTCCAGTTCAGTCAAGAATTTGTTATGTAAAATATCACGACAGTTCATGTGTGGGAGTAGCACAGCATTTAACTAATACAGTATTCATTGATCGCGCATTAATTGTTATACCGATGCCGAATGGAGATATTCCAGATGAAATGAAGGCCTTAGAGATGTCCAGCAATGGCACTATCGTACCAGGACTTCAACCATTAGAACCTAAGTTACCTTCACATGTTGTGAACACGGTTGAGGGTTATGGATTACAGCAGATCATTCAGACTACGGATCCCAGACTGGAGGAAAATGGTTTGCCCAACTATCCACCTCTACCTGGAGGTTATGACCCGCGAAAAGTAGAAGAAATTCGTCGAACAGTCTTAGCAATGGAGTTGGACCCCAGCATTAAGTCAGATAAGATAATAAAACATTTTTCAGCGGCTGGTGAAATTAAATATGTGCGAATGTGTATTCGTGATAATGTGCTAGAAAAATATGCATTGATAGAGTACTCTGAACAAGAATCAGTTGTGGCTGCTTTAAAACTACATGGTACTCAACTAAACGGAAGGACTGTTAAAGTTTATCATTCGTCTCAAGCAATTATAAAACCGGAAACTAAAAGCAATGAAGCAGCTCAAAGAGAAATCGAGGAAGCTATGTGTAGAGTAAAAGAAGCACAAAGTTTAATTTCAGCTGCTATTGATCCTGTAATAGGAATGCTTTCTAAAGATAAATCAAGTTCTAGGCATCGATCAAGGTCTCGTTCTAGGGAAAGATCTAGAAGACGTTCCAGATCGCGATCCAGACGTCGCTCCAGATCAAAAAGGCGATCTAGATCTAAAACCAAATCTAGAAGATCTAGATCTAGAACAAAAAGATCTCGTTCTAGAACAAAACGATCTCGCTCTCGGTCAAAGAGATCTATTTCGTGCTCAAAACGGTCCACCTCAAGGTCGAAAAGGTCTGCATCACCATCGAAAAGATCTTCTTCTCGCTCTAAAAGGTCATCATCATTGACGAAAAGGTCTCCTTCACACTCCAAACAATCTCCTACTCGTTCTAAAAGATCATCGTCGCGCTCTAAAAGATCGATCTCACGATCCAGAAAATCACCTATAAAAAAATCTCGATCACCATCAAAACGAAGATCTCGATCAAGAACTAAACGTTCACGATCAAGAACAAAAAGAAGCCATTCTAGATCCCGAAGATCACGTTCAAGAGATAGGAAACGTCGATCTATGTCTAAAGGTTCTCGTGCTTCGCATAGATCACGTTCCAAATCAAGAGGAAAATCTTCGAGATATGATAAAGATAAACATAGAGATAGAGATCGTAAAAAGGATGAAAGGAAAGAAAAGAAATCATCTCGTAGATCAAGATCAAAGTCAAGGGATAGAAAGAGAAGTAAATCACGAGATAGAAAAAGGTCAAAGACCCCATCGAAATCTTCTAGGAGAAGAAGTCGCACTCCAAAAGAATCGAGAAAAAGGTCTAAACATTCTGAGAAAGATGAATCAAGAGTAGCAAGAAACTATGATGAAGAAGAAAAGGGCTTTGATGATGTTTTTGAAGACGGAAGAAGAGATCGAAAAACTACTAAAAATGGAAGTTCAAAGTGCTATGGTGATGAAGAACTTAGAGATGTCAGATCAAAAAGCAAGAGCTTAAAAGAGAAGTATGCTTCGGATAGAGGTTCTAGTATGGAGTCTGCTGAAAGGGAACACTCACCTGATAAATCTGATAATATGGATATTTCAAATTCTCCATAACTTTTATTGAAAAACTAATTAATTATATGGCTTACATAATTTGAGAAAATAATAATTTATAATTTTCATATTCAATTTCATGTATTTTTTATGTATTTCTCAATAGTTGTAAATGCCGATAGAAAATAAAAGGTAATTTAATTTTTTCAGCTTGTGTTTAGATCAAGAATCTTTTGTCTATTAATGTTTTTTCAGCCAGGTTTCTCTTAGCAAGTGATTTTGTAACCAAAGCGAGAATCTGTAATGGAAAATATATAAAACATTAAAACAATTTTAAAAAAGTTCTGACAATTGTTTTGTTATATTTGAATATTATTTAATTAGTTCCTATTATTTCTGCATTACAGCAGGTTGAATGTCACAAGTACTATTTATTTTTACCTTCTAAATTTATTGGATAATGTAGTTAAGGGGGTCTTCCTATGTGATGGGTTGAAAAAATCGATGTTTTTTTCATAAATTGCTCCCTTAACATGTCTAGAATACGGTAGTAAAGCGATTTTAGAAAATTCGAAGTCGTTTTAAAGATACAGCAGGTAAAAGAAAGAGCGGTTCGGAGCGCTGAGTTGGCAGTTAGAACCCGGGCCTATTGTGTACCGTCGGCTTTATGCCCGGCCTCTCTTTTATTCATATATCCGTTTATACAAAGTTTGTTTAGGAGCAGAGACACAAAACAATAACGAATCTTTGAATTCTTTGATTTGGACTTTCGCTCCTAAACATCTTCATTCTGGTCCCAAAATTGTTGAAATTGCTAGCTACTTAGCAGTTATTATCTTTAATGAAGGTTTTCAAGGTATTGTCGTGAAGCCCAAGCGTATGTTGAGAAACGGGATGAAAAGCGAATCTTACGTTCTGAGCGGCGCGTAAGTGATGTCGTTAAACAAGCCAGGATTGACTCAAGAGTTGAACAATCTGCTTCAAAAGAGTTTCACGAGGAAGAGGAAGGAATACTCTATGGACTAGGCATCGCCGATTGAGAGTAAGTTGATATTTTAATAGTTTTTAACGGACTTGAAACTTTAAACGCATTTTTCTCAAAACTGTGTTTTTAAAAACTTTCCTCCATTGTATCTCAGAAACGGCTGGACCGAATTACTTGAAATTTACAGGGCACACTCAATATATGTAAACGCATGGAATGAACTATTATCAATTTTCAAAACTTCGATTTTTTTTATAGCAAAAAACAAAAAAAAACGCCTAATTTACAACTTTTATTTCAAATGTCTATCAAAAATCCAATTTTTTTTATATTCATTTGATTATAGGTCATTCCGTGCTTTTAAGCCTACAAATTAAAACGCCGTTTATTTTTTTTTTTCAGATAAGCCGATCAGCCGGAATCGTGGAGGAAGTGCGAGCTCTTTTTTTCGAGGCGGGGGTGTTCAGAGCGCTGTAACTCTAGTTTGACTGAATATTTTTAGCTGAAATTTTATATTTATACTGTCCAAATATGTGTTAATAAATGATAAAAAACTTGAAGCTCTAAATATTTACTGGTCGTAGAAAAAAATCCTAAAATATCCCTAAAAAACAGCCCGTCACATAGGAAGACCCCCTTAATTCCACATACTCACTTGAATAATAATAGCGACTGTCACTGAAGACACTGCTACATTTTCACATCCAATCAGCGTCACAAGGAACATCAGTAACTCAACGGTAGCCCAAGTCCATTCCTGGCCGTACCAAAGGACAGCATCGAATGCATGACCGCCATCAGGATAAAATACGCCTCCTATTTTCGGTGGTCCATCGACGGTGCCTGCTATTACTGTGCTCTCGGCATCTAGTAAACGTTCGACGGGGCCTCGTTCACGTACCTCGTAGTCCAGGTCCCGTAACGCCTGCGGCCGCACGCGACACTACCGTCGGTCAATGCGAGTTTTTTTTGTCGCAAAGCGTCATAATATCGAATAATGATTCAGGAAGCGAATATCATGGTTTAATATGATAAAACTGATAAATCTGAACTCAAACTGGTACTAATTTTCAGTACATAAAATTCTAAGATAAATCAACAATATTTACCGAAAATAACGTGACTAACGTTCTATAAGTAATCTGCATAAAATTTGTCAAACTTAATTGTTGGAGTTCTGTTATTTAATAAATAAAGTGCTACAATAATTTTAATAAACCTCATATTTGAATAAAAATTTCTATACTAATTTTTCCTACTTCGTAGCATTTTTTATTCACAGAATTCAGAATTATTTAAATTACTTTATAAATACCACTGACTTCTATTTGCCGATAACAAGAACATAATAAGCGTAATATATGCAACCAGATATTCACTTATTAAATCATCTATATATCCAATATTCAAACTCATTTTGCATATAATATACTACTAATTTATAGTGATGTGTTTATGCATGATGTATAAGGTTTTTCACATGGTGAAAGATGATGAAATATTTTCAGGCATCCATCCAATAGTAAGGAAAACTAGTGGGGAGTATGGCATCGTGCCTTAAGGCAAATTGCTGGAACTTCCCGTACCGTAACGAAATGTTCGAGGAATACTGAATGTTTTCAAATAGATTATTATAAATATGGTCTAATATTTATAAGAATTATATAAACTGAATTGCAAAGTTGAAATTATTTGTTTAAAGTATATTAGAACTATAGTCAGAATTAAAAATAAAATCTGAATTATTTTCGATATACAAAATGAAATTTCTTTTGAAAAAAAAAAGTTGAAACAAAAAATTTTTTTTTCCAAAATCAATTATTTTGTTAAGACAAGCAGAAAGTTCTTTGAATCATTTAAATCGGACGCTTAGTTCTCTCAAAAACTGCCATTTTTACACATTTAGCTCCGTATCTTCGAAATGGCCGGGTCTGTCTTTGCCAAAAGCTAATAAAACACTTCTCCAATCATTACTAATTGAATGTTTTTTAGATCATTCAAATCGGATGCTCCGTTACTGCCGGACCTGCCTTTACCAAAAACTAATCAGCTCATCTCCTATCAATAGGAATCGAATGTTTTTTGAACCATTGAAATCGGTTGATCCGTGCGCCAAAAAACGTGACTGAAAATTTGTATCCATACATTATACAACACACACATCCATTTTTCTGAGGTATGCCAAAATGTTCAGAAACCTTCAAAACGCGAGAAATGTAAAAATATTCAATTTCGATTTTCGGCCCATTACAGTTACCTTACGGGAAGTTAAAAATGTAGAAAAATTACTTTTTTAAAACTGCAAACATTTCGAGTCTGGTTTTGGCTCAACTTCAAATATTTCAAAACGAAACATATACATTGAGAAATTTTCAACAAATAAAGCGAATAAAAAATCTTATAATAGCACAAATGTGAGAAAGTACTCGTTTGTTTTTGTTATGTCTTTCTTATCTTTCACTATCTGAAAACCTTATACGTCCATGTGTAATAGATATAACTTTTTTTCGTATATATTTGGGTAATAATGATTGTCTTACATGATCTATAAATGAAGCCAGAAATCTATTGATATTCCTATAAGCTTGCACGCATTTTTCAATTCGTTCGGAATCGGACATCGCTCTGGTGCCAGTAGCTCTTCCATACCTCCCTTGCTCCGTCAAAGGAAATGTCATTTTACGATAATAAGCTCTGTATATGCAAAAATATATTTTAAAATTTATTAATTTATTTAATCGTACACCGCAATGTGAATCATGAGTGAATTTACCTCAAAGCTGATGGCAAGCGAGCAGTAAAAGTTTGCTGCGTCGAGTCTTTCAATAAACCTCTTGTTCCACAAAGACCTTGCTCTTCCCTTTGCAATTGTAGTAGCATACTTCGCATATCTGTATCGGCAAATCCATAAGGAGATCTAAAATAAGTGGATAACTAGTTTGTTTTTAAATTTCGTTTTTTGTACAATGTTTAATTTCATACCTTCCATGTATATAATAACCAAATTGATCCAAAGAAACAATCAACATTGATATATTAGCTAGGCTGCATAAATCTACAAATCTGTAATCATACAGCAAATATTGTAATATAATGAATATCAGAACACTTGATTCAAAATCAGTGATTATGAAAATTAGACATCAAAGGATTTCATCTAGAAAATTAGATTATTATGCTTACCCAACTAATCCAGCATTCATGTATCTTTCATAAATGCCTAACCTCAGCAGCATTTGTAAAAAATATAAAGATAAGTATAATAAGACCGAAAATCCTAATAAATCAGTCTGCGATAAATTATTATGGGATAACCCTAAAATCTGAAAAAAATCATTTTTATGCATTTTCAATAACTACATAGTAAATTATTTTTAATGTAGTTACTTCGGCAATTATAGCGACAAGCAAAGCATGCCCGAGACCATGGACTTTGCGGAAGACTTGGAGCTCATTCCACTCGTTCGCGACTAAATAACTTCGCCAAACGCTTATAGGTGGTGGTGGTCTGAAATCATTAAGCAATTATTGAAGTAATAATTCAAACTTCTGCTAATTATTTAATGCAAAATGTTTTTCCAACAATTACGTGATGTCATCAGTTGTTTCTCGATTTGTGCCCGTTGTGTTGGATATTGATCTTGGTAAACAATTCATTGCTCTTGGTTTTTCCCAATCAATTAGAAATATATCTATAGTTAACTGATGGTGTAATATTTGAATCACTTCTATGATCTGCATAATCAAGTGATCGTATTTATATACAAAAAAGATCATAAATTTAACATGTAATTATTTCAATGTTTACCTTTAATGCTAGTGCAACAATTAAAAATGCCTTTATTAAATATTCTTCTTCGTCGTTCCTGGATACAATTGACATTGCAGTTGATGATTGCAAAGTAAAGTACAACATTCTGGCCATAATTCCACATAACAATGCAGAAAGTAGCAGGGCATCTGATATCTTACCGCATAAAACTAGAAAGAACCTTATAAACCCATATATATTGAACACGGGAAGTCCAGAACGTCGTGAATAAGACCACGCTACTATAGCAGACCAGAATATTGCCAAAGTAGACAGGGTCAAAAGCATTGCCTAAAAAATATTATGCATTTAATAGATTTAATTAATAATCCCTTTAGTCTATACAATATTATACTACTGACATATATGGATGTTATTAAGCTCCAACTGCTTGTGTATCTAACCTCCGAATGTATATTTACAAACTCATCAGGTTTCCATTCTTTTATTTTGTAATTTACCAATAAAATTGGAGCATAGATTTTTCCAGGAGCATCAGTACGTAGTTTAACTAGCAAGATGAGAGAAGATGCATATCGAACTAAGCCAGTGTGGTATCGGCGTTGTGGATAAGAATCGGTTAAGAAGAATCTACGCACTAATATCCAATTGGACGAATCCGCATTCTGGAATAAAACAAAAATTTGAAAGCACCGTATATTTAAAGCAGTTTTGTTCAAAATCTATGAGACTGTAAAGCTTCTCTATTAGAGCATTTCACAATTATATATATATATATATATATATATATATATATATATGTATATATATATATATATATATATATATATGTAATGGCTATATGAAACATATTTTAAGTTTTAATAATACCTCATCATATGTGTGACCCATATTTTCAATTAACACAGGCACGGGTAGCATATAATCTAAATCACTACTTGGATCTTTATAATTAAGATATAATTCATGAAGTACACCTGCTTCTACATTTTTAAATAGGTGATGCATAGTGACGCGACATGTGGATGTGAGGGGTTTTCCAAACGATATATCACTTTGATAATATCCCGGATTACCTGTAAAGAAGAAGGATAAGAGATTTATTTAAAACATGCAACTACAAAAAATAATTTAATAATATGTGTTACCTTCACAAGGATCCAACCAACCAGGAGTAATAAATCGGGTAGTTATATTTTCACCATTTGCAGCGTAACTAACCAAAGTCAGGTTTAGAGGCTTATCCTGAAAGTAAATATTTGAAATAAATGAATTATGTTTTTATTTTTAAATTCAACTATCATCAGAAAATGATTTAATGTTAGAGAGAGGGCGATATTTTGATTTAAGTATAAATTAAATTTGTATATACATGTAGACCAAAAACAGTATCAGGTTTCCGTCTGTTTAATTCTGCATGAGCATCTCCTTCTTCATACATGATTTTAGGCAGCTGCATACCATTTGGCATTTCGGGAGGCCACAATGAACATGGTAGCCACAATTTTGAATATAGTCTTAATGCACAAAGATTACCTAAGCATTGGCAGCCTGATGTCATTTGCAACTACAAATAGAAAGCAATTTTAAATGAAATTAAAAATATTCATGTTATAATTTTACCTTGCACTGAAACAAACACGGCATCAGATGTTTCCTAATGACTTGCGAATCGTAAGAGTAATTTCTAAATGTGTGATCATTTTCACCCCATAGATTACCATATAAGGTTTTTGGAATGCATATGTTTTCTTCAAAAATATGAGTCTTATTAGGGCAAGTACAAACACGTTTTAATTCATTTCCAATTAATATTTGTGTTGTGCACGGAACACATTTTTTCTTATCAACTGTCGGTCGGAAGCCCGGGGAGCATTTGACACATTTCAAATTATTTCTAAAGGTTCCATTTTCATAGGTATAAACTGAAATATAAATAAAATCATAGTTATAAAATCTAAAAATTAGTTACTTTTTGTTCTAATAAAAATCAACGTGGAATAAGCATAATCAAAATATGAAGTTAATCAATATAATGAATTGCAAAAAAAACTGGAATACATTTATATTGAGCCGTAAAAGTGTTGCAAAATAAAGTATATAGTAGAGTAAATAAAGTATACTTTAAAAATTTGGAAAAAAAATTCGAAAAAAAATTGGGAATTTTTTTTTGCGCTGCAAATTAACACTCAAGAATATATACATATATATATATATATATAATATATATATATATATATATATATATATAATATATTGCCATAAAGATACTGCGAAATGAGTAAGAGAAACATATAGGTAATTAACAGCTCGATGAAAAGTACTGCAAAAAAATTATTATATTGTCAGCTAAAAGATATTATACAAAATAAAGGCGTGAGAAAAAAGGATATTTAATAAAAAATATGCAAGACATTAAACATAAAACAATTCAAAATATGATAGCAATAGTGGTACAAAAATAACAATAGGATAAATAAAACTATCGTTTGGCCATGTACGTATTAGTGAATACAGATGTAAAATAAAATAATTTTACGAAATTGCATTTTGCGTACATCATATATGAAAATTTAAAGCCTTTTCAAGAGAATAGTTTTGGTTAATAAATGTAATTGTATCAGAACAAGTATCGAAAAATTTTTCATTTGTACTGTTGTTTATAATTTCAGAGCAGACCGGACGCGTGTGGACCGGACTATTTCGCTGTAATATCAGATCATGATATTATCAGATCATCCAATACAGTTTCAATATATTTTCTATCGAATTAGATTATATTCAGATTTTTTATTATCTGTTTTCATTAATGTAATACACTACATACAATAAAAAAATCAACCTTAACCTTCAATTTCATCATTGCCGCATCTCTGGCAGGTCACGGATTGACTTGTATTTCCAATAAATATTTTTGTAGGACAATTCAAAGAAATGCATGCTAAACTATATTCATCAATCATGTGATCACTATTAGCACATCCAGAACAGACAGGATTTACATTTAGTCGATCCCACAATACTTTTGTCACACTGGAACTGTTACATGCGCACGACAAACCTAAAAATTCAAATAAACATCATTAAAATCGAATATACTGAATAAAATAATGTTTGTTCAAGTTTACCGTTATGAGCTGGTTGCAAATACTTATTGCTATCGCATTTTAAACACCTAAACGATAGTGAATTGAAATATTCATCATTTTTACATAACTGCCTATTGCTGTACAATAATATTTCACTTGTAACATATGAATGAATGTTAAGAAGAATAAGAAAACAAATAAAAAATTGATTATTCATTATTTTGTTATCATTTGTAATACATCGTATAATAATACTTAAGCAAAACAATAAAAGCACAACAATACGTAACCATGGAGATCGATATTTTGTGCATGAAAATAAAATTAGATGGGGTTGGCTCGTCTCATATATTTTACATGTAACTAGGGCGGCCTTCCTAAATTATAAAAATAAATACAGGGTCGCACTTTTCTTAGAAAATAATTATAAAGAAACTATTTGTACTCAATTGAGTAAAAAATGCACTTGCACTTTGAAAATGTCCGCATATTTTTCACAATCGTTGAAAAAAAGAGTATACTGTGAAAAATATGCGGACATTTTCAAAGTGCAAGTGAATTTTTTCTATAATATATATGGCATATTTACAGTTGAGACGATTTTTCTGAAACTCGACCAAAATCGCGTATTATGCGGAATGGGGACAACATGTTAGCATATTGTGCATGAAATTGTTTTAAGCATGCTCGGCCAAACGGCTGTCTGCATATATAAATAATTATATATATAAATATATATATATATATATATATATATATATATATATGTGTGTATATATATATAGATGTGTGTGTGTATACATACTAAAATATATTTAAATAAGATTCTATTAATATTATAATATGTTCCACAATTATTCCTCAATTTGCCTCTGATGTTTTACTCGCATGTACGAACAATATAAACCAGAAGTATAAATAGAGATGCTTTAGCGATGCAAAAATAAATATGCTTCATTGATTTTACCATAATTAAAATTGGGCATTGCATTTCAAATTATCTTTGGAAGGTAACATCCATTCTACATATATATAGTAAAACTTATTTAAAAATGAAGTAAGTTTAAAGTATTGATAAAAATAAAAACAAATTATTTATATATTCTACTAAGTATATTTTTATTTATATACACACATATATACTATTTTAATTAATTTAAATATTTACAAGAATTTTTATCTTTATATCTTATACAAACTTTATATTGAATTAAAACATAAACAAAAAAATGGCATTATACAAATTAACATAAACATTGAGTAATCATTATTTCAAATAAACTAACATATGAACACTAATAACAAACTAATCCAATAATATGGCAACTATAAAAATAAAATCATCAGTATTTCATTGATTGTACATCGAGCATACGCATTGCTGGATAAATTACATCAATCCATATTCGTAATTGTGAATCTATTAAAGACGTTATACTATAACATATCACTTAGAACTTAAATACATGCAAATGAAATAAATACTTGAGTACAAAAAGGCATAAATAAATTTGGTTTCGAGTCCTGAAAGTTATACTTATATCTTAATAGACTTACTTATACAATATGTCATGACTCTTCTGTTTATATTTTCAGCAATGATTATAATTTTTAATTTCAATCAAAGGAATCAGTCAAACCTATTGATTATTAAAACAGAATAAATATCAGTCAACATTTTAATATAAACAATATTAATGTGTTTTAAGAGGACTACAGTTTAATAAAATTTGTCATCCAATCCTAGCCTTAAATTGCATGGATGATTTGGATAAGTTACAAAAATTATTTTGGCATTTTCTACATATATTTGTAAGCTTCTAGACACTCGAAAGCTTTTAACATTCGCACTTTATTATTATATTTAATTTTAAGTATGTTTATAGGCTTGTTTTGGTAAAATTTATACATACATATTTTTATATTTATAATTATTTTCAAGTATAATCGCTTGTATATTCTTTAGAATTAAGCTTCAATTTCATAATTTTCTCAAAAATTGTCAATATATACAAGGAAGCTTTAAATTTGAGAAATCTAGTTAGGCTCATAAAAACCTTAATAAAAGAACTAATTTTAAAGTAAATATTATATTTAAAATTATGAACCTCAATTAAATTAGAAAACATATTAACGGCAAGATATTTTACCAACAAGCTATATTTTTAAATCTCAATTATGTGGTATGTGAATCTAGCATATAAATAATCAATCTACATTTTAAAACAAAATGTGAATAAACAAACTAAGTTCATTCGTTAATAGTGGATTAACCTCTATTACTACATGTTTTAATAATTTGTACTGATTGATATAATTATATTTACAAGCTATACAATTTGGGGATATAAAGGATTATAAGTAAATTTTATTTTGAATAAAAAAATTCTATCCATTCATTCAATGTTTATAGAAAATTGTTTTCGATTTTATAATACTAGATTTCATAATACGGATAAACGTAAGTAGATTATATATTGAATATACACAATGCATTATTACAAAAATATTTTATTATGAATGCTGTTATACTATAAACAAAGGAAAACTGTTTTTTGCAGATAATTTAAGAGTTCGGGATTTTAATGTATTACCAATGATTTGCATTATAACTAGAAAATGTCTAGAAAATAAGTCATTGAAACTAAATTATAGAATGCATTAACAGTTTCAATGTTTAAGTAGTGATAAAGCATTATAATGAAAAGTTTAACTTATATTTATAATAGAGATCTTATAGCCTGAATTCATTTGTTGTGTCACGTAATATTAAACAAATACAAATACCTATATAATACAATACAATCACATTCAATTTTCATACTTATTAAAAATCATATCAGTCAGATAATAAAAAATTACATAAGTAATAAAAATAAATCCTAATCGGTAGAATTATTCTTTGGTAAAGAATATATAAATGACAACTGCTAAAGTCGAACTCACATTTTTGTCTTATTATGATGGCACTCATCCTGATAAATCATCATCAAATCAATTATATACATATATTTTTTTTAAATATATGAAGTATTCAAAATATAAAGAATGGATTTGCAAAATATAACCAGCTAACTGCGAGCATACATATAAAATATGTATAATACATTTCAAAGTATTTAAAACGTTTAAAAGTTTAAAGTTAAAATAAAAACATGAACTTATGGATATCCATACGTAAAAGTACTATTTCCCAAAAATATGAAGAAACTGTTCAACTGTTCAACTATTTATACATAAAATTTCATTTAATAACACAAGATGTTTTCTTCTTTAGCAATGTCACTGTAGGAATGATCAATGAGAAAATTTAAAAAAATTGTAAAAAAAATACAATTTAACTATATACAAATAAAAGATGAAAGATGAAATAAATAAATTATGATAACAAATAAAAATACGCGCTTTATAAACTTCATTAGAAGTATTATTATCTACAGAAGACATTTGGAAGTCATTTTTTATTATCATTTATACTATAATTAAACGCAATTTATCATTTTCATTCAGAAATACTCGTGGTCTAGATATGAGTCATTTGAATTTATATCTATCACGTTTAATAACTAAGAGAAATTATTATTTAACGGAAAAATATCAATAAAAATTACTGACAAATCACAATAACTTTGTAAAATTATACATGAACATTTACGCTAACTTAATATTACGGAGATCATAGTATTTATAACAAATTCAACACAGTTCAAAATTTCTCTATTTACACATACAATTAAACTCTTGACTATGAAATCACAAGTTTTAAATACGGGCTTATTAATTATTAGGCGGCAAAAAATTTGCTACTTATTTTAATAAACTTAATATAAAAAATGTGACAATATCAATTCACATAACTTATTGCAGTACTTGTATAAGTTTATTTTCCGGAACAAACCTTGAAAACCGTTTGTAATCTGGAATTCTCATTCTTCTCAATATAAAATATTGAAACGACATTACGCACGTAAATATAAAATGTACATAACAACATACATTTAATTTATTGCAAAGGAATATTTTGCAAATTGTTAAGATAATATCCAAAATATTATTGAATTAAATTCAATAATGAATTAATATGTGTGTGAGATTGATTACCATGAATCAAAGAAACATTCAAACAAATAACCATAAAATAATTATTAGAAAAAAGTATACCAACAATTAAATGAAATAATAATTACAGAATCACCAAGATCTTCTCAAGTTTCACCCAAATCTCTCTTTAACCAGGAACATCAGCTTCTTTTTGCCTTTGTATGCCAATTTCATATTTTCAATTAGTTGTTGGAATTGTGTGTGGCCATCATGTGCCAAAATAAAAGTATCACGAGCTTTGCCTAAGAAATCGATGAAATCTCCATAATGTCTTGGCGAAATATGAGTTAGTCGCGAATGCGTAGTGTTTATGTACGCTGATACGGCGGCGTCCAGAAGTTGCCGTAGGGGCGGCCGGTCGTATGATAAAGGTTTCAAGGCAGTACAACTTCTAGAGGATGATCTGCTGTGATGATGATGGTGGGGATGATGATGTTTGCCTGAAAATAAAAACAATAAATTTTATATTGCTTTTCTGAAAACTGCTACATTGATTATCTATGATTATCGATCGCAAGAAATAAATGTGATCGAGGAGGAGGATATACTTGGATCTCTACCTTCGGGAGGTTGACAATGTGGGGCCGCCATGCTACATCTTCTCAAAATATCAGAAAGAACGGTGGCACATTGCACATTTTTCACCAGCAATGGTATCATAGAAGATAATTCTGTTTTACCCAAAGAATGAGATAAGGCGCACGCCCAATGAATATCGTTGATTGCTGGATGTGTATCCTGTAAAGAAAATCTTCTTTTTGTTGGAATGATAAATTCAACCTCATTATTGCACTATGGGACATTATCGTGGTTGCAACTGGACCCGTCGCCTCAGTTGGAGTAAATAATTGATACCTAGTTGAGTTATTCAGGATTAATTACTTTGTTACTCGTTATGCTTATGCGTTAATTTGAAGATAAAATTAATGAATGTATAAAAAATATATTTTAGTATTACTTCTCAAGAAATGACTAATAGTCTTATTCAAATTAATTTTTTTTATAAGACGTTTGATAAATTTCTAGGAATTTGTTTTATAATGCGAGACCGTGGACTAGATCTGGATGAACGTCCCGCAATTAATGTTGTAAAGCAGAAATATTACTAATAAAACTTTTTGAAGAAGTGAAAAAATGTCATAAGTAAATTTATATACACATGATCTTGTACATGGTTTTAACGCGATAACATTAAAAATATATTTAGAGTTACATTATGAAAGGGAAAATAATAATAATGTTAAGTAAATGCATCAGGTGGTGCATAGGCAAACTCCAAATAACACACAGACTCACATGCATATACATATGAGATATATGATTTTTTTTAAATTATTTATTTAGTGATATAAGATATTTGCTTAATATGAAATATATTATTTATATTTAAACAAACTTACCAATTCTGCATAATTGATAGCAATGCATCAGCACCAATTTCCATTGCACATGTGACTAGCCACCTGACCATCTCTCTTCGTCTCCAATTTAGTGACGCCAGAGTCATACGCATTACTTGTAAACCCAATTCAAAGGCTACGCTTAGTAAGGCTGGATGTCTGGGTCCGGATTCTGGAGTAGCAAATCTAAAAGCGTCTTGGGCAAGCTTGAACAGGTGGGATGAACTATGAATGTGCCGCTGTGAGCATTCAAGAACGGCACGAAGTCGTATCACATCGCCTACGAAAGTAAGAGCCAGAAATTTAACTACCTTCTTAATAACATTTCTCGATAAATTATTATTTATATCTGAATGTAATACCTTTGGCAGCGCTCAGCATAGTTGAAGATAAAGCACATTGTTGAGTTTCAATATGACCTAATGTAAACCAACGTGGATAGCGCGGCATGGCTAACGGTCCTGGTGAACCTCCATTGATTGTGTCATCTGAATCCTCATGCTCTTCCAAAATAGGTAATCTAAAATTATTAATATTTGTTTTACTATCTCTAATTTATGAAATTTTATAATTTTAATGCGATATATGTTGTAAAAAAATATAGTAAGAATATATTGCTTATCACAAACCTCATAGCTCTGAGACCAACCAAGTAAGCCAAATCGGGATGATAGTTTAATAAAGACAGAAATAAAAACTGTGCAAACGTATGCATCGGTATAGATTCGGGATGAATTCCCAACCCTAGTCCACTAGATGGTCCGCCTTCTAAAAGATACAATGATTGACGACGTAATACTGCCACCAAAGCGTTGTCTAATTCGATTTCCTGCAATTTCGCGATAAGGCGGTCCTCTTGTTTGCAAGCTTTTTCCTGTATAAATGTTATTAATTAATAATGAACAATATATGTATAAAAATGTGCACCATTTTAAACAGTTAAGACTATTACCTGTGCATATAAACCGATAGGCATATTTCTTTGCTGCCCAAGGCCTATTAATGCTACTTCAAAGGCGAGTGTTAAATACGTTTCATCGCGGATTTTTGAACCCGTGACAGGCACATGTTGGTATCTATAATAAAAATATAATATAGCAAATAATATTTTATAAAAAAAATTACTGACTGTGTCATACGTATTAATTCCGTACCTAGGAGGTATATTAGTGGGTGTGTTATCGTCCAGGCCAACAGGATCAAAATAAGTCTGCATTCTGAGTGTTCTATCATCGGGAACCAAAGATGCGTCAGTCAAGCAATCGAATATACAACCGACCGGATCTAGCGGATGACCAACCCAACCGTCCGTTATATGTTTAACTTTGGCATGATAGGGTACTGTGCCTGGAAGTAGTAATATTATTTAATTTCAAGTTCAATTTATACATAACATACAAATATATATATTAAGCTTACTTTGCGCTATACATTTCGATGAACATGTGTCCTGATAATAAGAAATTTTGGCTCCATTAGCGTTACTACTACTACTCGTGCCAGGGTTCTCATTACAACCTAAACCTCCATTGCAACCGATCATATTGCAATGCACAGCATTAGCAAATTTAAAAACATCCCTCGCTGGATAATCGCCGGCATTAGGTGTTCCGACATTTGTATTTGTAGTACTACTATTTTTGTTATTGCACGTAGTCCCTCCATTGATAGGATTGCCGGTCGTTCCACCACCACTTGTATTATTTGTATTGGTATAATTTGCACAACAGGATTTTGTGCAATAATTATTATGCATCTGTTGTGAATTACTTCGAGTAACACAGCAATTTGAGGAATATTTTGCAGGTTTATCGCACGAACGGGTGGACTGACTGTTTTTCGAAGCAGTATCTAGAGTAAGATAAATTGAATAATGAAAATACATAAATTTTAAATTAAAATTTTGTTATTTAAATTTTTAATCAACTAAAATAAAATGAGGTAGTATATGAATTAAACTTACTCTGTGTATTAGTAACACAAGCGCATCCAGGACAACCGTACATCCGCGTACAGTTGTAACTCATAAAGCAATGTGGACACACATTTCGATAGGTTTGATCCCTATGTTCCGTCGTTTTCGTTCTATGCCTGAAATGGCATTGGTGTTCTTTGGTGTTATTTATGTTATTTGGATTGTTTGGACAATTTTTGTGATGAACAATGCCATACTGGCTAGAACTGGAGGAGGAAGCACTCATCTGGCACTCTTGCCAATTTCTTTGGGCGATAAGTTGTTGTTGTTTCATGGTACGCACGACGGCAACCGCGAGGCGGAGTGCGGACTCAGCGTGACCATGAGAACGAAGTGAATCTATGCGGGCTGCACACATTGGGAGAGGTTCTGGAAATATTATTAATAAAAAATATTATTTAATGAAATTATTATATGAAATCTAAACGTCAACTGCAATAAAGCTAATAATCGTTTTTTTCATAATTTTGATATCCCATTATCTATTTATATTTCTGTACTATATATTTTAAGTTATGATATTTTTTCATTAATGATTATTGGCGACAGTATGTTATCAATAAATTTACATATAAGTTTAAATTAAATTACTATAACACTATAACTACTGAAAATATATATTATTAATAGAAACATGAAAAAATAGAGAAATCGGAAAAAATATTTATAAACCATCTTAATAAGCACCACACTATGATATTACCAATATTATAATGTGGTGTAAATTTATTTAATTATAGTGTGGGTAAAATTTATTTAATTATGAAACCAAATTATGATTGTTACTGTATAATACACGTAAGTTATATGAAAGGCCATGTTCTAAATATAATAATATGATCACATACGTTTGGAACATCATCTATGCGATCATTGCAATATAATTTATACTGAATATTTTCGTTTGATATTCCCATGTATTTTATCAAAATTATTTATGGAGGGATTTAAAGAATACAAATTATGCTATTTATCGCCGATCAAATTCAATTACTTTAATGAAAGCCTATTAATTTTAAAGTTTTTCCAGCCGTTGAATGTAATAGCACAGGTAATATAATTTATATTTCGAAATATAAATGTATAATAATTTATTTGTATTAACATCGTAAATTTTACCTTTCCATAAAGGTTGATTGAGATCATTAAACAGGGCACCGGTGTTAGCAGATGGATGTGCTGTTTTCCCTCTACTACTCGTATAAGTATCACTTGCTAAAATGTTTTTCAAATGTGAATTGTCCCAAGTCATACCAACAGCATCTAAAGCTCTGCGAAAAGAATATATTTTATAAGATCTTGCAAAATATTAGAACATATATCTAATTCCAGTATAAAAAAGTTGTTGAACATGTCTATTCTATATTAAAAATTAAATTATAATTATCAGACTTATAGGATTCAAAATTGGTATATAAATGTACCTCATAGAACAAGAAATTTGCTATAAGAAACTTAATAAATCATGTGGGAATAAACTCAAAATTATCGATATTATAATACAATTACTTAAAATATTGAACACGTTTAAGTATAGTCTATTGTGTCATGCAATTATCACTAAAAACTTGCACTATTCATTGAACACGTTTTTTAAAGTTAAATACCTTTATTGTTAATTACGAAACAATGGAGTTTATTGTATGAAGGCAAACTGATACTAAACCTTTCAAACAATGGTCAGCATATTGATTGGCATATAAGAAATTAACAAACACGTAATGAATTATATATAAGTTCTATTGTGAAGAATAGGAAACTATTGTCAATATAGCATGATAACTTTAGGAATGCGCGAAGATTTCATAATATTTTTTAAATAATTCCAATTAATCTAAAGTAATGAACCCAATTGCTCATATACTTAGCTCTAATTTTGAAATATGATGCTGTATGAATCAGAGACTTTAATAAGACCATGAAAAATTCAAAATCGGTGAAAAAATGGAAATGCTGGAATTAAAAACACGCAGGAGAGAATGCCATGGCATACGTTGCAGTACGTTTCAGAAAAAGCACTTAAAAGGACAAGGGAGACAGAAAAAGTAAATGAAATGTGGTGTGGCAGAGTACTATGATTAGTCTCATCATTAACGGAAATATATACGTTTTGAAAATATATTTTATACAATATATAACTGCAATTAAAATACCTGTGAAAAATCGTCCTGGGTGTGCTTGTCGCCTTTCCTCCAGCATTGTTTAGCCTCATTCTTTTATTGTTTCTGTGGTATCCGTTACCAGCATTATCATCATCAGAACTATCAGAAGTATCAAATCTGTTTCTCTCCCTTTCACGTTCCCGTTCTCTCTCCCTTTCGCGTTCTCTTTCTCTTTCTCTTTCACGATCGCGTTCCCGTTCTCGTTCACGTGCTCGGCTATCTCTATCTCTGTCCCGGTCCCGGTCGCGATCTCTATTATCTCTTTCGCGAGGATGGTACTGAGGGAGAAGGAAGATAATTTAATAATTTCTTCAGAAGTTAAGAATAATTGTTGAAATGCTGTATTCATCATGGAATTCAAGAATTCATCTTATCATATAGATAGATACTTACATTATTATCCCAACCTTGAGCAGGAGTTCTCAGGTCTGGATCTTCTTGGGGACAAACATCACTTGCAGTCCATTTTTCTAATAAAGCTTTCCATTGCAATCTTTCCGTTCGGCCTATTCGAGGATTTAATACTATACACACCCACAACGCGCCTGCAAAGATTTGAAAGCTCAATTAGTTTCATTTATTCGACTAATAATAAAGATATATGTATGAATTTACAAATTTTACTACGCATAACTATGTTAGAATCAATACTGATGGCGGTACATACTTATCAAGTATATGATGCACCAATATTTTAAATTCTAAGTCAGTATCGTTATAACAGAAATGCGCTAAAGCTATTCTTTCTGCATTTTTATTTTTCTATTTTAAGAAACGAATTCTTTTGAGCATTGCCGTATTCGAGAGGTGTCCCATATTTTTAGATGTCCTGAATAATAATAGTGTGTTTTATATTATAATCTAGTCTGGGCGCTCGCGGTGGAGTATTGATTTTCTTGTAGCGGCCGCAGTACCTGCGTTCGTCTCTGGAATACTAATGCACTCCTGGAGGGTTGGCAAATCTTATGCTGATCATGGGCTAAATGACACTTTTATAGCAGTTGCGAACGAAGGTTCTTATACAACGTTAGTCTCTCGAAAATAGATTGAATTTCGACATGATAGTTAGGAAAACGCTTGCACATTTGAGCATATTATAAATAATAAAAATTGGATTTACAAAAAGTATGGACATTAAAGAATGCTCCACCAAGAATGTAATAATAATAACTTGATATTTAATATATGAAATTAAAATGAATGAAAAAATTTTCAAAATACTTATGAAATAAATATATTATCCTTTATTTGTTTGAACTTTAATATTGGTTTGATAAGTCCATAATTCAAATTGTATCGTATTTAATAAACGATTTATTAACTTTCAAGCGGTATTTTTTACTTAATCAATTTTCTTCTGATCGAACTAAAAAATTGGAGTCGTTTCTAGTGCCAACCCTATGTTAAACTAGATGCTGAAGCAGAATCAGTGGATTCCATAGAACAACCGATGCAGCAGCTCAAGGTATATTGCCATCCGCATATACAACACCGCGATATAATATAATGTACGCGATTTAATCAATTCTGTCATGAATATTTAATGAATTCAATCAACAGATATAATAATAATAATCCAATTGTCTTAACAATGATAATATTGGTTATTATTCATTACACTGATTACATGTGAACTCATACTGCGAATATGTTTGGAAATGCTGGCACAAAATTCGATACATCTATGTAATTGTTATATAAATTTTAATTATCTATATTAAAATTATATAGATAATATATAAATAATCGTGTTTAATAAAATTAGTCTGAATTTAATATAAAATTAACTCAAATTTACTATTTAGTTCTATTACTGGAATTAAGAAGAATGTTTTCATAATGGTGAAAATCCGAACACAAGTTTTATTAAAATAGTCTGATGAAATCTGAATTAATATGTAAACTAACCCAATTGATCCCAAAGCTGCCTGCACTTGTCGGTCATGGGTTGTCCTTGTGTTTTCCACAAGAGTAAACGAGGGTCCGATAAGAATTGCTCTGTTATCAGAGTCAACATGCGGGCACCATTCGAGTCCTGAGCTCGGAGCATTTCACGAACCTAGAAAGAAAATTGGAAATTGAAATAATAATCATTATTTGAAAACCATATCGTGGCAAAAACATAATGATAAGCTTTTGATATCATTACAAAATGAATTTGAATAAATAAATTTTTGCTTTGAATATTTGCAAACTGCAAAATCGTTTAAAAAATTGTTTATGTCACGAATAGAAAATTATCGATTAAGAAAGAAAGATAATTATTGCTAATTTATCTTGAAATTGTTATAGATCAATATAGGTTGAACAAATTATATGCTAATTAGGATTTCTTATTTTCTTATCCATATAATAAAACAATGAAGAGAAAATGGCAATTACCAAGCATATATGCAAAGTATTTACTGCAAACGTGTAATATATTACTTAGAATATTTCGTATTTTATTCAGCATTGAATTAAAAATATGAATTTATAAAAATGCATGAAAAATACATGGTCATAAAATTCTTGTTATAATTGAAACCTGAAAAAATCTAATTAAGTTCTGATTTTAGAGCATTGACTAATAAATATTTATTAATGAAAATACATGCTTCTTTAGCATATTTCTTAAACTTTTTTTCTATTCATGTTAAAAATCACGTAGTTGCAATTATAATAAATACTTATCAAATATAGAGATTCAAAAGAGTAGAGATTCAAAAATTTTTCAGACATTCTATAACTATAACGCATCTAACAATATGTTTTAGAGAACATATCTTGGTTAACATACGCAAATGTGAATTTCTCATCAATCCAATAAAAATCATTACAGGTACAGAGAAACAGAGTGTAGGTGCTATTAGGATAGTATCTATTTAATAAGTGTATCACTATTATCCAACGATGGCGCCAACGCCTTCGCACTCACCTTGGAGAAGAGCGAGTTGAGCTGCTTGTTGGCCGTGTAGTAGCTGCCCTGTGACAGATACGAACGCACCTGTTCACACACCTGTTCTTCGTCGAGGTGCCAGCTGTGTTCGTCGTCCGCGGACGCCCCGGCCGTCGGATCTGGCGCCCCTGGAATCTGAAAGAAAATGTAATTGCACTGATTACTTGTGGTTACAGAACGTTTAACACACACATGATATAAGATACTAATTTTGTACAAAAATAAGAAAATCGTAAGTAAGATATTCTATTCCTAGTTCATTAGTAGGAACTTGGTAAAAGGGTAAAACTCGTGACAAAATCAGTATCCACAACTAGTGTAACCGCCTAAAAAAAAGGTGATTTTTGGTAATTTATATTACAAAAACTACTTTATCAATCATTTCAAAATTTTAGAAATATATTTATACATGCTTTAAGAATACATAGTAAAATTTTTGGAAAAAATTACATATTTTTTAAGTTATCGTCGATCTCCAACGGCGCGACAAAAAAGGCCCTTAACTGCTGCAGTGATTCCGGCCTTCTACGTGGATGTAATAAAAAAAAAAAATTCTCGTTAAACTAGATAATATTGTCTGTAAAGTGAACTACGATAAAAAAAATAAATCAAAAATTGACAAAATGGCGGCGTTTTTAAAAAAAAGTCGAATTTTACCCAAAATTTTGGTCGTTTTTCGACTGCTAAACTTCGATTTTTGATCCGATCAAAAAATCGGTAGTTCATTTTACGGAGAACTATATACAGAACATGTAAAAAATGGCTGTAACTCAAAAACTATTTGAGATATCGATTTGAAATTTTAATAAGTTATTTTTGAGGGTGTAATCTACCGAAATATAAAAAAAAACAAAAATCGATTTTTTCAAAATTTCACACTAGTTGTGCCCCTTAATACTCTAATCATAAATACAATAATTAATAAAACAAATGGCACAATTGACAATTTTTCAATAATTACTTGATTTATTTCTGATCGTTGCTGAAGTATTTCATCAGCAAGTTTCTGTGCCGTAGGAAGTACTTCCGTGTGATGTTCCGATATCAGGTATTGCACGAACTTTTGTAGTTGCTGTCGGTCCATTTGTAGTAAAGTTTCTGTAACAAAAAAAAAATAACTCTGTTAGTCATGCTATTGATTTAATAGTGAATATAATTTTTTATCACATTCTTTACATATGTATAAAAATACTGCTAAAATTGCCAGAGTATAAATATTCATACTAGAGTATATCCGTTTAGATGTTATAAATAAGGACAAACTAAAATTCATTTTAGTTTTCTTGGCAACGATTTTAAAATCCGCTGTGGATTGTGAGAGGTTGAATTATTAAGCTAAATTTATTACAACGCAGAGAGTACTTTACTAATAAAGAATAAGAACACTTAAGTAATTACGAAAACGTTTGAAAATTTTAGTGATATTCACATCTGATTTCATCAACGACTAGTAAGAATATGTATCAATATCTTTTCATTCAGCAAATTAAAAAATATTTTAAAATAGTAGTTTTTGTTAAATTAATTCTAATGCATATCGATTAACTAACTATGAGACTTTAACATGAATATCTTTCGAGAAAAATGAATTTTTCTAAATGAATGAAATCGTAAATTAGACATTGTCTAGTAACGCACGATTGGGGTGCGCGCGTATCGATTTGCGTGATTTTGAGAATTCCGTTCGTCCGTTTACGAGTCACGTGGGGGTGCATAAAACCTACGGGCGCACGAGGATTACCGCACTGGGTGCACCCTGGAACCTAAGCAGCGCTACTGGGACGTCAAACAGAAATATTCAATTGGGATCACGTTGCAGGATTGTACCAAAAATAGTTGAAATATCTTTATTTTTTTGCTTTAATTGGTATGCTTTTATTTTGATATACTTTCAAAGCTTCTAAATTTTCAGTTGGCTAACAATATTTTATGTATTAATGAAATAAAGTACTTCTTTTATTGGCAGGGTTAAATATCCCTGTCAGTTAGTTGTGTAGTGGGGATACGCGTGAATAATTTTGGAACAATAAAGGCCTATACACATTCGCCCAAAGTAACAGTAGGAAATGCCATTGGCGCCCTGTGCTGAAATTTAAGAACATCGCCAGGATTAACTAGCGCACACATGCGCACTATCATAATATACAGCAGTTATCCAATATATTTAATCCTGACTCGACTAATCAAATATTTTACTAAGACAGATGTCGCCAAATAAAGGGTCCCTATCTAATTTTAAATCAGGACCCTCCAAAAGACCATATTCGACACGAATCATCAGAAACAAGTATTAATAAAGTAAATAAATCTAAGAAAATATAAATAATATTATTAGTAGAAACAGAACATAACTGATAAATATTGCTCAACGACCTCTTTTATTTCTGTATTTATTTTATATGATGGTTTTGTTTACATGATTTTATGAATTAATTTAATTGATCTGTTTGTTAGAAACGCTATGTTTACACATATTTTGGTCTTGACATAAATTATCTTGTCCAGATAGACATATCCGTGATGTCTTTGCGAAGTATTGATTTGGTGTTAATGTAATCAATGCACAGTGGCGCACTACGATATAATAGAAGGCGCTAATGTTAAAGCTCTACAATACATGTATATATATATTATATATATATATATATATACATATATATATGTATATATATATATATATATATATATATATATATATATATATACATCCACATATTCAAAAAAATATAACGCATTATGTTAATATTCTTTCTATTATTATCTCGCTAGCATATAAAATCCCAGAACTGCTTCATGTTTTGTGTTACATATCGTTGGTATTCTCTCGGAGCCAACTATTATAAATGAATCTTCATAATCTTTTATGTTTATTGGACCCCATCCAATACGCTAATGATAAACCGCATAAATTTTGCCTGGAGTGAAGTCATAGTTTTCAGTTCCGTTCTCATTGTTTCAACTACACTGTTTCGAAAATATGAACGTTATAGACGTTATATATAGATATATATATATATATATATATATATATATATGTGTGTGTATATATATATATTTATATACAAACGTGAGTGTAAAGTTTCCTATTATACGTAGTACGTCGTATATTATGATAAGCGCGCTACGCGAACGCGTCCACCCGGTTTCCCCTAAAGGCTCCGGAGAATGTTTGAATGCATATGACATCGATGTGAGACCACTTTGCATATGACGGTGCAAGGCACTACTGTAAGGGTTGCTGACTTTGTAAGGGTGGGACAGGATCTAAATTTTATATTGCTACGAAATCATTTCAATTAAACTCGTTGCTTTGTAGAACGATTGTTTGCAGATCAAATTTTATACTTAAAAGTTTTTAAATCAATATGTTGTCTGCAGACGGAGTCAATATTAAGTAATACTCAAATAAGAATTGATTATTTATTATAAAACAATACAAAGTTTAGGCATTTTATTGCAATCGCCGCTGAATAATAATCGAACACGTTCGCTATCATCAATACGTAATCATCATTAAGCAATTTTCTCCGTGTTCAATTCTACCTACAACTTCCACACAGCTGGTATTTTTCTGATAATTTGCGTCACGTTTTCACGTTGCAGTTTTCCCGGCCTTTCTAATTAAGCGCGGCCCATCTCTCCGATTACACCCCGCACGACACAAAGTGACGGCAAGGGACGGCTACCCCTGAAGCAGCCCTATCAAATACGCACACATGAAAATATTTAGAAATGGAGTTGGTCAACGCGCTTTTCAGTTTGTACTTCTTTTAATAAAAATTTGATTCATTTAAATTGGTGGTAAACAAGAAAGAATCCGCTAATTCATTTCTGGGAAAAGGCCGTTGAAGGAATTTACCAAAATTTTTGGTTTTGTTTAAATATCTACATAAATTCATGGAAATTAAGCACATTAGACTACGACTGTCTTGAGTTTTCTCCTAAATATCTATGTATTTTCATTATAAAATTAAAAAAAAAACGTTCATATGAAATTTGACGCGCTAAAATCGAAGTTTTCTTCACCCCGAAAAATTGTCCACCAATTCTTTGTCTACATCACGTATATACGATATTTATGTATGCCGCATGGCTTCCCAAAGGCTTTTTATATCTTTGGCACGTGCAGTCCGGAATATGTACGCGAAACGATGCATAGAATATGCACAGACGCGTACAGTTTTATATCTCGCAGTTCCTCTATCATTTTTCCCTAACTAGTAAACCCAACGCGTGTCATAATTGGAATTTATTGCTAATTTCAAGCTTGGTCATAATTTTATCATAATTCCTACGAGGGACGTAGAATGCTTGCAGAGCATTTATTTTTAAATGAATGAATATCATACATTGTCATATCAAATATGCCAAGTATTAGATATTGCCACAAAAAATATTGATGGACGAAAAAAAGACTATTTAATTTATGTTCATACAATAATTGTGATTATTAATAAGAAGTTCAGTACATCATATTTAAATCAAATAAAATATGCATGTTCACCTTTAATATAAACGCACATCTGTAGAATATTTATCAAAATTTCATTTCGGATTCTGTATTGAATTGTAATTTTCGACCCATGCTAGGAGCTTAGGTTCCCTCTTAGACCGGGACCAAATCCCCCAGCAAAGCCCTAGGGCTCCAACGACCGAAAACAACGCAAGGCGATTGGGCGCTCGATCGTAAAACGCGTAATGCGTAGTAAAAACTTATTCAGTACCGATGGAGAAACGCATTGGGCCGTTTGAGGATGAAAGACGACGGTCGAAATAATATTGAAAATATATAAATATACACTTTATTGGTGCTTTCTGCAGATTGCAAAGTTAGCCACTTATTCGCAATAAAACATTGTACAAAATTAGCAAGAAATGTTTGGCACATCATTACTGCTATAATTTATGAGAAGCAGATCATTTAACACTAAACATTTTTTCTAATCATTGATTTTCATACAATAGAGAAAATTTAATTATTGCTATGAATGTTCTTGATTAATTGTGACAATTTCAGAGACACCTTATTTGAAAATTGCGAGTGCTTAGTATGTTTAAATAACCGACTTCTCACTTTTACTTGATATCATACCCGATCAAATAATGGATATATTGGTACTGGTTGATATATTTATACTGAAATATGATTTAATAAACCTATTCTATATTATTAAACTATAATAATTGCCTAGAATAACAAATATGTGTTTCACAACTAAATACCGCCGTTCTTCGTGTGAATAGAGCCAAAACACCGCGGGATGCCGATACCGATTCAAAATCGCGCCCCACGCACGTTTTCGACCGCGCGCTGCAAGTGTTAGTAAATTTCGTCGTTTCGCCTCGAAGAATTACTTACTTACTCAGAAGATATACGAGCATCATAAATGTGCGTTTATAGTGGGTACCTTATGCCCAAACACTGCTTTTCCAAAGTTTTGTTTTTGGGGGTATTAGTAAACCAAACTCAGTATTCAGCTGGATTTTCTTGATTAAGTGCAAAAAGTGCTAAAGTATTGTAACTAAATTTCACAATCTTTTATATTGAGGTAAAGTTTCATTTTTAATAAAAATCAAACTATGCACTTAATAATGACAAAAAGTGTTTTTCAATTCAAAATTAAGAGTAGGGGTATAACGTAAAGCATATGGGCTAATCAAATCAAAGGTAACACAAAGAACCTGGTTCAAAAACACTACAGAGAATATGAACTTTGTATCAACTATATCAAAAATGAAATGAGGACACATGTAGTGCAAAATACATATTTGGATGATAGGAATACCACAAAATTACACGTTCCAGTGTGGACAAGAACCAGAAAAATTATACCATTGGACCGCATCTTCTGGGAATGCAAAAGGTACAAGAGACAAAGGAAAATAATAAACCAGAAGCTGCAGCTTGCAGCAAAAATGTATAGTTTTTCCAGTAAAAGCGCTAAAGTTGATATCTAGCAACAATATTGAAATATACAAAATTATATACAATTTCATTTATAATAATAATATTAACTTAAATTATACATTAATGATCGAAAGATCCACAGCCATGCAAAATAAAAATAAAAAAACTGGAATATTAGGTTGTCAAATAT